AACCAACCACCCGCCAAGCGTGGTGAGAAGCGCCTAAACGCTGACAAATTACTTGGACGAGGAACCGCTCGCAGCAGGAAGACCGAAGCATCAGCAACACCCGAGGCTTCCAGAAGAGCCTCGAGTCGCGCCAAATCCATTCCTATCAAAGAAGAACCCACCGACCATGATTCTACCCTCCTTGCCCCGCCGACGCCCACCAGTCCCGAGGTGAAGCCAACGGGTCTGGAAAATGAGGAAGCAGATGATGAGGCGGCTTCCACAACTGCCGACCCAACTCCAACCAAGGCCAAGAGAGGGAGGGGCAGACCACCTGGCACTGGCAGACCAAGAGGACGACCACCCAAAAACGCCAACAAGAAGGAAACTTCGAGTGTTGGCAAAGGGGCAGAGACCACTGTTGCCGCTCGCCGATTACGGAACGCCCGGGAGGCCATGGATGAAATCGACGAGGAGGCTTTCCGGGATTTTGATTATAGGGTATACGACAACGACCAGTGGACGCCCGAGCGATGCGACGAACTCGAAGAGAAATACTGGAAAAGTCTGAACTTCAGCAACCCCATGTATGCTGCTGACATGCCGGGCTCTTTGTTTGATGATGATACCAAGGAGTGGAATGTCGCAAAACTACCAAACTTGCTGGACCTTTTAGGACAACCTATTCCTGGTGTCAATACCGCCTACCTGTACCTTGGGATGTGGCGAGCAACTTTTGCATGGCATTTGGAAGACGTGGATCTCTACAGTATCAACTACATCCATTTCGGTGCTCCAAAGCAATGGTACAGCATATCTCAAAAGGACGCCCCCAAATTTGAAGCGGCCATGAAGTCTATCTGGTCCTCAGATGCTAAGGACTGTGATCAGTTCTTGCGCCACAAGACTTACCTCGTCTCGCCTGCAATCCTGAAATCGAAGTTTGGGGTCAACGTCAATAAAGTTGTTCATCGCGAAGGCCAATTTGTCATCACCTTCCCCATTGGATATCACTCCGGCTACAATCTGGGTTACAACTGCGCAGAGTCTGTCAATTTCGCAATTGAAAACTGGTTGCAGTATGGTAAGACAGCGCGCAAGTGCCAATGCGAAGCCGACAGTGTCTTCATCGATGTGGACTGGTTTATCCGCCGGATGAACGGCGAGCCTACACCTGAGTTTGAAGAAGTTGAGGTTACCGACGACGAAGATGAGGACGAACCAACAGACCTGCCCACGCCTCCCAGTAGCGATAGAGGCAGGATCAAGATTCCACAGAAGAGAAAACGTGCTGTGAAGGAGCTCGCTCCTAACAAGAAGGCCAGGAAAATCATCAAGATCAGAAAAGTCAGCAAGAACCAGCCCTGCTGCCTGTGCCCGAACGACTTCTCCTGGGAGGAGCTTTTGCCGACGACACAAGGCCAGCGTGCACACAGAACTTGTGCTATGTACACGCCAGAAACTTACATTGCTAGCAATGACGGCAAAGAAATGGTCCATAATGTTGAGAACATCAGCAAAGATCGTCTGGAACTCAAATGCCACGAGTGCCGGCAGAAAAAAGGATCGTGCTTTCAATGCTCATCAGCAAAATGCACCAAATCGTTCCACGCGACCTGTGCAATGCAAGCTGGTGTTCAAGTCGACAAGGGCGAAATCGCTGTTTGGCACGAAGGGGTGGAGTATCGCGATATCGGCTTCGACTGGAGATGTCGTCTGCACCGTACAGTCAAACGCACAAGAATCACCAGTGAACTTTCGGCCTGCAATCACGCAAACAATTGCTGGCAGAATGCTGAGTTCCGACGGTTCCTTTTCGGCCTCAAGAAAGGGGAGCTTATTCAATTTCAGGCAACCAATTTCGACGATATTGAGGCCGGCCTGGTTATTGCTGGGTACGACGAAGGTCAAGACTCTGTTCTTGTCAAGGTCCTGCCAGATCTGAAACAGGTGAAAGAAGTAGATCCCACTTCGATCCTGTTCGTCGACTCCGCCACCTCGTATCTACAGAAGCCAAGTGCAAATGCGCTCGACTTGCCGGAAGAACTACAGGGCATGACTGCTTCACTACCCGAGTCAACCGAGAAGAAGCCAAGTCCAGGCGACCTATTCACCGAGGAGCCAAGAACCGAATGGGCAGAATTTGTCTGTTCTCTACCTCCCGTGAACAAAGCACAGAAGCCCATTGATCTGGCCAAGGAAAAGCAACTGTGGTTGTACCTTGGAGAGATTTCGTCGGAAGGAAAGGCATTCTATACGGCCGATCCTGACAAACCGGTTCATGACCCTGCCGCAAACTTCCTCGACATGGTCATGCCTTCCAAAAAGGCAATGGCACCACCACCTCAACCCAAGCGGCAGGCGTTCTCGGCTTCCCATCCACTAGTTAATTTTGCCGCAAAGAATGCTGCAATGGCAAGCATTAGGCAGAATGTCGATAAACAGCATTTACAGAGTTCAGCCCTTCCAGGGACTTTCAGCGGAACGACACAAGATCTGACGATGGGCAGCAATCAAGCACGGCCCATCAAAGCCAGCCAGATCAAACCGTCGCAATACAAAGACATCATGACTGGCCAAGAGGCTCGCCTGAACGAGCAGGCGCGGATCTTCCAGCGACAACAAGCCAAGGTCCGCCAGCTTGACGCCGCAGAAGGCTCCAGTACCTCCATCCGTCATGGTGGCATTGGGATTGATCTCGAAGCTGTCCAGCGCCAAAGGCATTTCCAACAACAAGCATCTCAACATGCTAAGCATATGAAGGAGTGGTCAAACGATCCATCGCTGCCCCCGCTCAAACAATACGACCCCTTCCCGAGCTTCACTGCACTCGACAGCACTGGGCGTTACGGTCCTTCAATGATGAATTCAAACATCAGGTCACAACAGTACGAATACAGCAGCGACTGGATGAATCCTAGCGCCACAGAGCGGAGCCCCAGTTTTGGACATGGTCCAAATTCAGGTCTCAACTCGATGCTTTCACCCCAATATGGCCGACCCCAATCCCCTGCCACTTCTTCCTTCCCTTCATATGTGCAACAATCCCACCTTCAATTTCCGTATCACAGCGGTCCGAGTCACAGTCCCCCCGGAACTTCAACTCCAAGCACACCATATCAACAGCCCCGCATCGAAACCATCCGTGCAGCCGCAAGCCAACCACCTCTGCCTCCACCTTCTGCCGAAGTCGAGCGTCGACGCCGGATTTCCAACCCAGCTTACCCATTCAAAAGCCCCGATCAAATCAAGGCTCAAAAGGAGGCAGGAAAGCACTCTCCATCTGGCAGCAGGCCGAGCAGTTCGTACATGATGCCCAGTCCCAGCCTGCAGCAACATGACACCTCACCTTCATTTATGCAGCATGCCAACTCATCCGCTACGAGCCCTTCGATGCAACCACTAGATCCGCAGAATCCACCTCAATTTATCAACCCAAATGCTACGCAGATCAGCCCACCGGGGTCCAGTGCAGGACATCGCTCTGCGAGAGGCAGTTTCTCTGGATTAGGTTTGTCATCGACCGTCTCCCTCCCTTTGAGTCACATGGGAATAAAAAGGAGCGCCTCAATGGACATGATGGATTTAGACATGATGCATGACATGGCGCCTTTCCCTGCTGCGAGTATTGGTCTACAAATCAGCAATTACATTCCCAAGCGGTCAATTTTCGATCCCCTCAACACAACTATCCATGGTGGCATGACGCAGCCAAAGCCTCAAGTCCCGCTTCCCAAGCCAATTCTGCCGCATTCCTCGACAATCCACTTCTCCCCTCCACCTCCTATGGCCGATCCGTCACCCCTTCTTGTCCAGTCTCTGGAGAAACGTCCACTTGGACCGACTGGGTTACTGGTCAACGATCGCCCGATCCCGAAACAGCTAAGCGATTGGTCTGCAAGGGGTGGATTCTGGGCGAGGGTTGCAGGCTACTATATTCAGAAACATAAGGGAATGGCTAGTGTTTATCGAAGCCCATTCATCGCGGTTAAGGACAAGGTTGGGCTGGATAGTTGGGAAGGCGGCCTGGCGGAACGTTACTACGACAGTCTGGAGCCTTCGGAGAGGGAAAGGATTGATGCTTTCAGGGACGGTAAAGCTCAATCATGAAGGGGGCCAATGCAGGAAGGCTTTTCCTTAGCCAACTCAGCGTTTCGTGAAAGACAGACACAGGGCTATGCCAGTGGCGCGGATTCCTGCCTTGTTTGCCACCAAATCAATTTCTGTCGAAATGACTTTTGATTGTTGATGCAGGAAAACCGTTGGATCGTTGAAGCCGAAGGGTGATTGACGGAACAAGAAGGGATTAAAGATGAGGATCGCGAACAAGCAGGATGGATATCATGTACAGGGAACCCAGGAGGGAAAGCGGTTCCCATACATATGTTGATTTTGGGCTTTTATGAGAAGTCGAAAAGGCCTGTTCATTCATTTACTCAATCTGTGTGATCGGACAGCTCCGATCCAGCAACATCCTTGCAGCTTTGGTACTTGGTACAGCAGTAAGTAGCAAAGACAAATATGAAGTCCCGAATGGAAAAATGAAAAGATGAAAAGATCCAAGATCAAGATCAAAAGTAAGGAGTCAGGTTGTGTCTTCGAGGCTCATTTCGTTGCCGTCTCTCGCGTTCTGGGAATTCTTCGCGTGCGAGGACTGACTGTTGGGTCTTTTAATGAAACGAGGGCCAGTAGACAGACAGTAATGACAGCTGTGCTAGTGGACTGGGTATATGGTATGAGATAGACAGAGATAGACAGAGAGAGACAGAGAGAGACAGAGAGAGAGATCCGATGAGGAGTATCAATCTATCTATCCATCTCAGTCATCATCACTCACTCGCCTTGACCAAAACCACACATTGCATGGAGGTAGAGCTAGGACCACGCCCCTAGAAGAACCTGGACTGTGAACCTAAAAGTAAACAAGATCAATCTCTTTGCGGTCAGTCAAGAGTACGGCCGACAAAACGCCATAGCACCCAGCTAGTACCGCCCTGTGGTTGCGACTGCGCTTAGCTGCTCTAGTGGTCGGTCATGGCCTTAGCCTCCACGCGGCATCGTATCGACGCAATGTTTGCAGTGTTTTGCACTTGGATCGCTTTCTCGAGAGCGAGCCGATAGTAATGGGAACTCTGGGCGCGGTTCTGCCGGACGCCATACATGTAGCCCAGGTCGGAATATGTCTGCTGGAGGAATCGAGCACGGTCGTCATCATGCTCGAAACTGTTACACATGGTCAGCGTCTTGAGAAGGATGGGCTCGTCAATGTCTACGGTCAACCGAAATGCGTCCGGATGGAGATCGAGGTGAATCTTCTCGCCTATCGGTGTGATTCCGGTCTTTCTCCGTCCTCGTCTGCGCCCCTGGGCTCTGCTGCTAAACCGTCTGATGGCGATCCCATTTGATGGGTTTCCCATGCAGCTGGGCCGTAGACAAGGTTAGGCCCGTGCCTTCAGATCGCGCCAACGCCATCAAGCCCACGACCGCCTCTTTCTCGGTCGACTTGTAGTTTTTGAACGCTCCCCACACTGCTATCCGTCTCGCCGTCTCTCGAAGGCCTCCCCGATACTGACCTGCGAAATCATAGAAAACATCAGTACCTTTCTACAACATCCACTCTCGTCGCCTCCTTTAACTCCAGAGGATGCTATCGGATCAGATCATGGCACTGTCACCCAAGCAACACGAACTCGAAAAGGATATTCGTCTCTACCGAGTCCTCAGTTCGGCATGACACGGGCAGTCCTCAAAAGCGCCCTTGCCGGGCCACGAAGGAGACATGGAAGGCTAGAGAGGCCAGAGAGGCATGAGAGGCACTGGAGGCCCAGCACTGTCATACATCATCAGGTTCATCCCACCCAAAACAGGCTCACTTCGTTTACCCCCGTCGCGGCACGGGTGACGTGGACGGCAAGGTGGCAGACATCGAGGATATATATCTAGGTGCGGATGGCTCCATCCAGTGCGTTGTCACTTGGAAGCCATCGTTGATCGACATGGAGTAGGTCGTTGATGGAGATGACGCATTTCGACTGTGATCTTGACGAGGCCTCCTTTGTTATTCGTTCCGATGGAAAACTCTTCCACGTCTATGTCCGAGCAGAGGACTTGGCGAACTGGCCTGAAAAGGCAGAGTTTCTGCGACTGATCGAAGAAGCACCAGAAGACGATGACGCTGACGAAGATCTGTACACTCTCATTTCAGATGCTTGCATTGCCATGTTACGCGCTCACCATTCGCTCTCGACCGATCCACGCCAATTTTCTCTTCAACAATTCTACGTGCCCGAGACACTTTACTTTAAGTTGGTGGAAGATGCGGGCAGCCTCACATACTTACCTTGGATTAAAGATCGTCCTGATCCCGTGGGATTGATTCCTCAGATTCACTTGAGCAACATTCCAGAATCCTCAGAAATCCCTCATGTGGCCGCCTCGATGACTAGAATCTTACCGACATGCGGCTCGGACGTCGACGACGTCCTATCGGACACTCCAGGCTCCGTCCTCGTGGCCGGAGATACTGCCTGTTACCATTTCAAGGCAGTACAGGACCACGCGTCATTTCTTCGAGAGTTCAAGATACTACAACAAATCAAGCACAGTCGCTTACATCAAAAATACCGGCTCCCATCTATCTACGGCCTTGTCCATTACACCAACGAGCCACACAAGATTCTAGGAGTATTGATGGAATGCACAGATCATCAGGGTACGCTGGCAGACTATATTGGCACGGGCAGAATCACGCATTCACTGAGGCAGACATGGGAGAGCCAGATTCTAAATACGGTGCTTGCGTTACATCATCATGGAATCATTTGGGGAGATGTGAAGCCTGACAACGTCTTAATTGACAGCATGAAAAATACGTGGTTCGTTGACTTTGACGGAGGCTTCAACTCAGCGTACGTAGACGAAGATCTTATCGAGACGGTCGAAGGGGACTTAGAGGGAGTGTCGAGAATAATGGGTAAGTGAGCATGAGGAAAACTTTGTGGTACGGGCACCCTGGGTATGTACTGTACCAATCGAGCAATGCACTTACTCGGCCAACCTTCCTTCCCCATTGGGTCCCCAGTGGCTTACCCGTCACCCGCAGCCTTGCGACAGGGCTTTACTTGACCCTCGTCTCGCTGGCAAGGCAACCATTGTCCGTCCGAATGGATTACAAGGACAAAACCTTGTGCATAAAATCCTCTGTTGCAGGACTGCATCTCAAGCGAACAGAATACCTTTTTCAATGAATTACCATTCAACACGAAGGACTAATGAGCTGGTCGACCCTTATACCCGGTAGGTCTCCGCCCTCAAAGACACCGAGGACGGCCTTGACGTCGTCCGAGTTCACCAGTCCCAGCGTTTCTGCTTGGCCCCTGAATTCCTCCTCGAACCAACTGTCGCCCGACATTGTCCCTACGAATAAAACCCACAGGCGGATCCCGGGCGACTCGTTAGACATCGTAGCGAGCAACTCTTTGAGTCTCCAGAGGATCAGCCTCCCTGCATTGAAGACGGTGGTGTCGAAAAGCGGTATCCGCTCCATCTTGGCCGCCAGACGGAGTCGGTACAGAGCTGCCAAAGCCGCACATTTCTCGATATCGTTGGAGCTCGAAGTGTACCGTTCTAGTAGAAGCCTCATGATGTGAAGAAATCTGACCGTGGCGGCCTGTCGAACAGCCCATGGTGTCTCGGCCGCTCGCACCACGCTGATGGCCACGAGGGCGTTTCTCAGGTCAAGTATCAAGCGGCGCCAGGGCCATTGGATGCCATCGCCAGTGTCATCCTCAAGCCACGGAAGGGGTACATACACTGCATAGTCTGCCTCGAGCATATCCCACGTGCTGTCGTCCATCGTGAACAGCGGGCTTCCCAGTGTTAGGGTAGCGCGCTGGGTGTCCGAGTGGAGGATGCAGATGAGATCCTCGGGTTTCGCTCCATACTGGTTGTTGATAGCCTCCAGCAGGCGAAGGTGGACCGCCACCGCCGTATGATCGTCGCACCACGTCTCGGCGTACAGGAGAGACATGACCGGCCGACATAGGTGCGTGAGGCCCGTCTGGAAAAGGCTCAGGCGGAGTTGCTGCATCGCCTTCGTTTTCAACTTGAGGACCAGATTGAGGATCTCTGGTTTCGGGTCGCACCGCGCCTTGATCGCCGCGATGCGGGCCAAGAACCCGTACGCGGCCAGTTCATCTTGGAGATACGTCGCCGACGGGTGCAGAGGGATCGTGGTGCTGCCCACTGCTGGGGAGACATGGAGCTGGTCGAATTGGAGTAGCTCGTCGATCTGAGCCGTGTGGGGCATGGGTAAGGTGTCAAAGGGGTCGTAGGAACCGACGAAAGGGGCGTCGATCTGTGCAGTCTGCTGACCCTGATTTTGAAATGTGTGGTACAAGTTCAGGGCTGAGACCCGCAGATTCCGTGTGCGCTGCAGACGTTTCCATTGTCGGTGCGCAGCCACATGGCGAAACACCTGGCTCTTTAGGGACGACGGATCTGTTTGGTCGTCATGGTGTATCCACGAGTGTATTTTGCCTGCCGTCGCCATTTCCTCTTGTCATGTCTGCTGCCACTGACTTTGAAGACTTGTTGAGGGGGGAGGATAGAGGCCGTAATTTGTAAGTTCGCACTCATACTTCAACAACGAGGGTTCGGTTTTCAAAAATCTGCGTTTATTCAGGCGTACATCGGCTGCTTTACGACTCTCTGTCTTTCTCTCTCTCTCTCTCTCTCACACACACACACAAGCGATGTCGTTGAACTCACTACCCTTAGTCACGGTTCTCCACTCTAGGTAGGCGGTAACAACAATGTAGACCAAAGGCACCTTAGCCGCAGCGTCAAGACCTTGTGGATCGCGAACTCTGGCTATTACATAGTTGGGCTGAAAAACACATGCGACCTTGAATCTCGGGAAGAATTGCTTGGCCCTCCCGTCTCGGCGGCGGACATGGTTTGATTTGCGCTTAGCATGAGCCTTACAACGGCAACTTTTCGTTTGCTGGTTCTTGGACCGCAGCCAATGCCACAAGGGTTCAAGAATAGCGTGATTCACATCGTCTAGGATTGTTTTTTCTGTGGCGTCTTATCCTCTCGGTCAGGCAAGAAGAACTTGGACCTGTGCCACCTGCCCTGTAATCACACCCCAGCAGTCAAAAAGAGGCCGTGACGCACGAAGCTCCCATATCTTCTTGTGTCTCCCGCGTCGCGGCGAAAAGTCCCAGTGTCCTTGTTACCATGTCAATCGTTCGATGCCCCTTTGGAGCCAACTGACCAGTCAAGCCTTGTGCCTGTAGACAAAGTCCACACTAACTACTCATATCCCCTTTCCCACCAACGACATTTACGTACACTGGGCCTCATTGGTGGATATTACGCGGCCCGCTCGTGTCTGCATGTTGCGACGCCGTTCCTCCTGCGAAGTACAAAACGCAGTCTTGGTAACCTCTTGATCACCCTCCGGGGGCGCTTTTGAGGGTTTAACTTCACCCCTACAAGGACAGGTACAGGGAGTAATACCAGAATCGACTACAAGTAACTGGTGGTACCCTATTTGCGTCCTGCTACAACACACCGATCCTGTACATAGCTAGCGTTGTCAATTCGACGAATGAAACAAGGTTATGCCCCAAGACCCTTGACTGTTTTCGGAATAAGTTTCATCTCCTCTAATTGGCTCGATTCCCAGGGCAGCATGAAGGTAGATGGGACCATTTCCAGCATCCTCTAAACGTCCAGTTATTATCTCACAAAAGCAATCTTGTTTAGCCCTCGCAATCATTCACGGAATGCGGCGTCTAAGACGGCATGCTCAAGCAGCTATAATGATGCCATACAGATCCTGCATGCAAGAAGCTCGAAGAAGGTCTATCGACCCCCCTCAACATACAAAAAGGTGGTTGCAGAAGGGATAGCCCAACCTTACAAATATCAAACCCTGCACATCACCTGCGGTGCTTATTATAGCACGAATCAAGGTCCTCCTTACATGGAATACTGTTTCCCCATATTCTCTTGCACTTCTCACACTTTCACTACCAATGCCGGGGGTTTGGAACTCTCCAAGGCCCTGTTTCCATAACCATGGCTGAACAAGACCGAACCTGCACCCAGTTTTCCCTGGACATATCGATATCAGTCATTTCTCGTATCACTGCTAACCGCAACCGGTGGCCCGCTTGCAGTGCGACTGGGACAACACAAAGCAAATGGCCAATAGTTAGTTCATCGTGAGAGATATTGCCAAGTTCGGGCACCGACACCAGCACCCGACCGGCCCAGCCTTCCGTACTTGATTCGACCAAGCTCAGGCCAGAGATCGTGATATTGCTCGCGTAGACTTTGCACCTCCAGCACGTGTCCCGTCGAAGTATGATATCTCACCACGTCTTCTAACCACTGCACGCGTCGAGGCTGATCCCCTTTGCTCAAGGCTTCCTTTGGGACAACATTAGTGCTCCATTCCAGCGGCAATCGGTAGTGCTCGGTCCGTCTGGTCAGATCTCCTCTTCTCCCGAAGAGAACCCCCATGCCGTTGAATGCCAACATGCGGAGCTTGGAGGTACTCGCTCCACCGGCGTCTGGGCTCTCACCGGCGAGTGTTATCGCCTCGGTCAATAACTCCTCGGCTTCATCAAGGCGATTCTGCGAAAGTCTCAGGTTGCCAAGTTTGTACACCAAGAATTCATCCCTGGTGGCGGCTCCGTCAAGAAGATTCGTGATGAGTACATCCTGGCTTAACTTACTTAGGAGAGTCGATTCTTCGCCCGTATCGCGGTGCATTCTGCTGACGAGCAAACTTAAATACGACATGCAGTCCAACAAGTCGGTGCTCGAGTTTCGGAATCTCGAGAGTGTAGTATCCGCAGTAAGGCGGACGACTTGAGAGCCGAGGCTCACAGATGTGTGCTCACGGAGCATAAGCTTAAGTATCTTGGGCAGATAATGATCGGGTCCAAGGACTTCGTTAGCCATTCCTGTGAGGTAGCGCATAAGTGCCCCTCGAAATTCTGGGTAGGAGGACCATTTGTGCAGAGAGAAGCATGCACTGAATTGTACGGTGATCTGGAGAGGCTGATGCCTGAACAACGCTGCAGCTCCGCCACAAGCATCATGAAACTTGGTGTAGGCGCCCGATCCCCCATCGACAAGAAGATTCAGTCCCTCGTCGATGACACCGAAAACTTGTCCTAGGCTCTGGGTATGATGAAAAACCGCCCGTGGGTTATCCGAGTACCGCCGGTAATAGTAGTTGATGTGGCGTAGAATCAGCTCGGCAATGCTGCTCTCCGGACTCTCCTGCAATATCTGTTTTTGAAAAGTACCGATGCCCTGGATGGTCCGAGCTGCGATCGTCTGGTGAGGGTCATGTTTCTGGCTAGGGACTTGGTTTTCAAAAGTCGAAGACATATCTGGTCCCTGGAGATCCCAAGAAGCAGCATTTACCATGGCATTTGGCAATTCCTGGGCGACCATAGTCATTTTCTGGCCTTTTTGTTGAACTGGGCGTAGAATCCGGGACATGGATGCGGGTTTTCCTTTGATGGTAACTTTGTCGTCAGTGACGCCACCATGGTGTCGGTAATGAGCATAGGTGCTCAGTTTCTGCTCTTGGGTCATGTTCTTCCTGACTTCCCAAGCGTGGAATCTTTTCGTGTACATGGTCTTTGTCGCATCGAAATCATATTGATCTCTCATGATTTCCATGACTCGTTCCAGGCTAACCTCACAATCCAAGTACAAGTGGGTGATGACAGATCTTAGATCCTCCCATCGGTCTTTCGGAATAGTAGAAGTTCTTTTTGCTTGACGATTCTCCATTGTAGCCGTGGTCTGGAGACGTGGGCGACCCTTTCACTCAAGTAAGGCTGGAAAGCAAGACGCTATCTATGTTCAGGAACGATTCCAGTAGACCTGTACGCTATTGGCTTGAAGATGGCGTTGGGATGGAGATTTCAGCAGAAGATTGAGCCCCTCCGGCGGTTCTTCGAGGGTTATTTATAATTGTCGACGGGCTCCCTGTACACACCCTCTGCTTGCTGACATTGGCAAGACGAACCACTCATCCGCAGAGAGAGGGCAACAGCGGAATTCTGGCAAGTCGGTGGCGATTATCATGGCTCGCCTTTGACTCGAGCGTTGAGCTCTTCCAGTGAGCTGATTCGACCGTCGTGCTCTGAAATTGTCTTTGGATTCTCTAGACGCAGAATGCTCATATAGGTTGACACAACTAGTGCAACAATGATAAGCGAGCTAATGAAAGCCACCAGCCAAGAGTACTTTTGCTAGCTTGGCCGCGAGATGTGGAGGGGTCGCTCTCCAGGCCGCGAGACTCGACATCATCACTCACGTAGGTTGCCTTGAGAGAGAGATATAAATGTGCAGCATCCTGCTTCACACATGGATTCAGTACTTCTTCTGCAAAAACTTTCCTTTCGAGCGTGTTCGGATCAGACTCAAACAGGTTCATTGCTCTCGTATCCTTTAGATGTCTGATCCCGCAGACACCAATTTCAACTCATTGCAAGCCTCCAAATAGAGGTACACGGAACTCAAACACAGTCTGCAGACCTTGCCCAAGACTTGGGAACAATCACGCCGCAATGCGAATGCAGCTGGCGGGTACTGTTTGAACCAATGGATCGATTTGGCTGAAGTCGAAAAGAGAGGCAGAGAGGCCAGCAGGAGATTCAAGGGCGTTTTATGCCAAGACCAATTCTACGTGACACGATCTACACTCCTCCAGGGTAATTTTCGTTAGTTCGCCACCAATCCACTTATTCTAGACTAGTCCATAAATGGACTAGTCTAGAAAACGCGTCCATCCTTTCTATCCTAGACTGCGCATTTCACTCTCGAATACTAGGTAATACCACTGATTTTCAGCCAATATGGCACCTTCTACACCACCTTCTACACCACCTCGAAAGCGTCTAACACGAGATCAACGTCGAGAGATCCTGTTAATGCGTCGACTTGGCTATTCGTACGAGTTTATTGCCTCATTTCTGAAGGTTTCTCAACGCGCAGTTCAATATACCTGTCAAAAGCAACGGGCTACTCCACAGCATTCCAACGCAGGTAGGCCTCCACGGCTTACTAAGGAAGAGGCGGATTACGTTGAACAGTTCGTTATACAGTCAAGAAAGACTAGAAGAATGTCCTATTTACAAGTGGTAGAAGCACTATGGCCTGAGGGTGAAGTTAGCGCCGAATCGATCCGATACGCTCTTCATTAACGAGGCTATCGACGCCGAATCGCTCTACGAAAGCCACCTCTCTCTAAGGCTAATCGGCAAGCACGACTCGAATGGGCACTCGAACATCGTTCCTGGACAAAAGAGCAGTGGAATCAGATTCTCTGGAGCGATAAAACGTGGATAACAGGCTATAAACATCGACGGACGTTCGTTACTCGGAAGGCTGGCGAGGAACTACACTCAGACTGTATAGTCGAGCGAGTTCCACGTCCAAAAGGATGGATGTTCTGGGGCTCTTTCAACGCTAATATAAAGGGCCCTTCTCTCTTCTGGGAGAAGGAATGGGGTTCAATCACCTCCGAGACCTACTGTGAACGAATAGTTCCGTTGATTCAGGGTTGGATTCGTCTAAATCCAGGGCTTCTATACATGCAGGATAACGCTCCTGCCCACGCCGCGAGACTTACTATAGACGAGCTACAAGAGCGTGGTATCAACTGCATCTTCTGGCCTGCCTTTTCGCCAGATCTCAACCCCATTGAGACGGTATGGAACGAGATGAAGGATTAGCTAGTTCAGCACTACCCACAGCCACCTACCTCGTACGACCAACTTCGTCAGCGAGTGAATGAAGCCTGGAACGCGATAGGACAGGACCTTCTACAACAACTGGTAGACGAGATGCCACAACGCTGTCAGGACGTGATAGACGCGAATGGCATGCACACTAAGTGGTAGAATCTAAGCCAATTAAAGCCTAGTTAGACTTATCCACTTGGTGGCGAACTAACGAAAATTACCCTGGAGGATGTAGATTCGCTCATTAGCTAGGCGCCAAGAGGAATGCAGAATAAGGTTAAAAGGCTTGGCAAACGAAGGGAGCAGACGGTTGGTGACCATGACCAGACCGTTTTGTACACCATGGTTGGTAACATGTAATGTCAATGGATTTGATCTGTACATTACGGGGCCTAGATACCTACATGAGATGCGCTTCAGGCTGTCGCTAAGTCTCCGGTACTTGATCAATGGTTTGCTTCTCATGGTGGCGAGTAGATCGATCCATTTGGTACTTCATGTTCACGTACTGTTCGATGGCAGACTCCCTATCACGCCGAACAATGGCATGAACTGACTGTTCTGAGGTACATATTGGGAGGATATTGTGGTTCTGTCTATACAGTGCCATGTCGAACTGACAGATGTTGAGTTGATCGATTCAAGGCGGATACAAATCGCCAGACACGCTGCCCAATAGCTCAACTCCTTCACCTTCGACGTGCTTTCACCACACATCATGGAGATGAGACCGACACTCATTCGCAGCACGAGAAACTCCCCATAGCTCTACATCGAGTGGTTTAACGGCATGTGCGCAAGGCGGCCTAGCCGAAGCTCACAAACTCCTCAACGACGACCGCTCGCGTGCGCTCTCTCCACAAGAACCTCTCCTCATCCTCCCTGACCATCTTCCCATTCTCACCCTGCCCCAGCGCCATCAACCAGCGCATCTTTGCCGCCTCGTCGGCGAATCCAATCTCGGTCATGACGTCAAAGTCGACGTTACCCGGGTCCAATTCCAGCTTGGCCGCCGCGGCCTCATCACCGGAACCGGAGGACGTCGGAGTGGCCACCGGCGTACCTCTGGCGTCGACGGTTGCTCGCACAAAGACAAACGCCGGGTCGTCGCGGTGGGTGTACCGCCTCTTGTACACCAGGGGCTGGTTCTCCGGGCCGGCGAGACGGTTGATCATCGGGATGTGCTTCGTCTCATAGTAATTGATAAACTCTTGGGTGGACAGGTGGGGGAGCTTGACCAGATAGGCAAAAGTGGTGTGCATGATGGGCCGTTTCTTTGTCCTGTTTGTTTTAGTGTTCAAAGAAACCGTGGGTTGGTGGGGTGGGAGATGTAGTTGGATTTGAGACGTGTCCGTTACCTCGAATGTATATATCCGCTGGGTGGGAAGAAAGGAACTTATCGAGAATCAGTTTTTTTCGAGCGAGGTCCGTGTATCCTCAGAAGACGATGTATTCCCTCTATATCTCTCCCTGTGAACAGAATCGTTCCGGGGATCAATGATATGCTATGTCTGTGCTCGTCGTTAGTGGCATCGAAAAGGACACGTCTCTACAACTTCAAGTCCAGTCCTTTTTAGTCATCAAAGAAACCGCCGTTGTTAGGAGCGCCTCCGATGTTACCTCGAATCGTGTCGATTTTGGCCTCGAAAAAAACTCAGACTGGTCGTGGCGGTGAAAAATACGCACGCAATATAGCCATGTTTGGTAGTAGGTCCTCTTTCACAGGGTATAGCGAAGTCATGACTCAACACGTGGGTCGACAAGGGGCAAGGCGAGAAGAGAGGTCATATAATACTAGTGGATCTGTGTCGGGTCCTTTTAGACATTGACACCACGTTGCAGCCGACCCCAGAATGGCCATGAGGTGGGTTGCCGGGTCCTTGAGCTGGGAAACAGGCGATATTTATATGCAAGCACAACAATTTGAGAAGGACAACTGCCAACACAACGAACAGCATGTCGTGGATCCAGATCGACACTTCTTTCCACGAGTCGTTTTGCTGCCAGTCAGACCGTAGTCGGAATATTGTGGCGCGAAAATGAATCCAACTCAATCATGAATAACCCGACGATCCTCAACAATCCTAGAGTTTGTGGCTAGTGGTTGGTAAGGCGACATCGCCAGATGCGATAATCGAAATGCCGGAGTGTCGGGATATCGGAGGTGATCTGGCGCCGCTATGGCACACTATATGTATGAGGTGCTGGAGCAGTGACGCACAATAGAAACAATGCGGAAATACAAGTACAACACAGACTATAACAAGTCTCGCAGCATATTTTGAAATGGATTGTGCATTGAAAAGCTAATTCTAAGCTCTGTCATCCCGATTCTCTGACTTTCCCCTGTAACCATCATTTGTTGAGATGATTCCATAAACCTCACTGATTCATTTCATGCACAGGATGATGCCGAAAAAACTCTATGCCATGCAAAGAGGTATCATTCCCATATCCCATTGACAACGCCAACGCCGGTATGATTGACACAAGAATTCAAGCCGCTCATGCTCATATGCTTTTGGTCGTTATGAAGCCATTTAGTCAACCTCTTCGACAGTTGGACCATCATCGCCGTGGCCAGCACCACCAGCGCCAGGGAAGCCACCAGGACCGCCGGGCATACCACCACCGGGCATTCCACCGGGCATGCCACCTTCACCGCCAGCACCGTAGAATTTCATCATGATGGGGTTAGCAACGCCTTCAAGCTCCTTCTGTTGAGATTCGTACTCTTCCTTGGTGGCAGTCTGGTTCTCGTCGAGCCAGGAGATGATCTTGTCAATTTCAGACTTGAGCTTCTCCTTGTCAGAGGCATCGAGTTTCTCGTCAACCTTGGAGTCGGCCAAAGTGTTCTTGAGAGAGTAGGCGTATGACTCCAAGCCGTTCTTGGCAGCGATACGGGCGGCCTCAGCTTCGTCCTCGGCCTTGTACTTCTCGGCCTCACTGAGCATGCGCTCAATTTCTTCCTTGGAAAGACGACCCTTATCGTTGGTGATGACGATCTTGTTGGACTTGCCGGTTCCCTTCTCCACGGCGGAGACATTCATGATACCATTGGCATCCATGTCGAAAGTAACCTCGATCTGTGGAACACCACGCGGGGCAGGAGGGATGCCGGAAAGTTCGAACTTGCCGAGGAGGTTGTTGTCCTTGGTGCGAGCACGCTCACCCTCGTAGACTTGGATGAGCACACCAGGCTGGTTATCGGAGAAGGTAGAGAAGGTCTCGGACTTCTTGGTGGGGATGGTGGTGTTGCGCTTGATCAGAGGAGTCATGACACCACCGGCAGTCTCAATACCGAGGGACAATGGGGCAACATCCAAGAGCAAGATCTCGTTGGTAGACTTGGATGAGGTATCACCGGACAAGATGGCGGCTTGGACTGCAGCACCGTAGGCAACAGCCTCGTCGGGGTTGATCGACTTGTTAGGCTCCTTGCCGTTGAAGAAGTCGGAAACAAGCTTCTGGATTCTGGGGATACGAGTGGAGCCACCAACCAAGACGATCTCGTGGACAGATGACTTGTCAATCTTGGAATCACGTAGGACGCGCTCGACTGGCTCCATGGTGGATCGGAAAAGGTCCTGGCAGAGCTCTTCGAATCGGGCTCGGGTGATCGAGGTGTAGAAGTCGATACCTTCGTAGAGGGAATCGATCTCAATTGAGGTTTGAGCCGATGAGGACAACGTGCGCTTGGCGCGTTCACAGGCGGTGCGGAGACGGCGCAAGGCTCGGGCATTGGAACTAAGATCCTGTTGAAAAGTTAGCGCATGCTCAATACAACGTGGGGTGGAAGATGCGGGGGGAATGGGGGAAGGTGGAATATATCGAAATTTTGTGACAGCCTTGCTAACTTTAAAAGCTATACAAGGCTGGGACAAAATTCTGACTCCACCGGGGATGGGGCAATGGGAAGAAGATTAAGGAAAAGAGCCTGCATACTTTCTTGTGCTTGCGTTTGAATTCGTTAACGAAGTGGTTGACAAGACGGTTGTCGAAGTCCTCACCACCCAGGTGAGTGTCGCCGGCGGTAGACTTGACTTCGAAGATACCTTCCTCGATGGTCAGGAGTGAGACATCGAAAGTACCACCACCAAGATCGAAGATGAGGACATTGCGCTCGCCCTCAGCCTTCTTGTCAAGACCGTAGGCAATGGCGGCAGCAGTGGGTTCGTTGATGATACGCAGGACGTTGAGGCCGGCGATCAGACCAGCATCCTTGGTGGCTTGGCGCTGAGAGTCGTTGAAGTAGGCAGGGACAGTAATGACTGCGTTGTTGACTGTGCCACCGAGGTATGACTCCGCAGTTTCTCTCATCTTGGTCAAGACCATGGAGGAGATCTCTTCAGGTGTAAAGAACTTCTCTTCGCCTTTAAACTCCACCTGGATGACAGGCTTGCCACCCCTGTCAACAACCTTGAAGGGGAAGTGCTTCATATCGGCTTGGACTTCGGGGTCGTTGAATTTACGACCAATCAGTCGCTTGGCGTCAAAGACGGTGTTGTGGGGGTTCATCGCGACTTGGTTCTTTGCGGCATCGCCGATCAGACGCTCTGTGTCGGTGAAAGCAACGAACGAGGGGGTAGTCCGGTTGCCCTGATCGTTGGCGATGATCTCGATGCGGTCATCTCGGAAGACGCCCACACATGAGTAGGTAGTACCTAGATCGATACCGATGGCTGGAGCCATTATGACTGGAGGAAATGAGGAATATGAGATAGCGTGTTGGAAGGAAAATTAAGGAGTATTAAGAAGTCTCTTGAAGAAGACTTTTCGTTCTAGGAGGGGATTTCTTCGTGAATGTTTGTTCTGATGGTGAGAAAGAGGAAAGGCAGAGCCTGATCACAGAGATTTATGGAATTTGGTTGTTGTCAAAATTTCGCCAAGGCGAGGGCGGGACGCAGTTGGTAGAAGCATGAAGAAGTGCGTGGAACTACGGTGACTGTTCTAGCTGCAGGACTGGTTCCCACTCGAAGCTGCCGGCCTCTTCCAGCCGGCGCATGCGGTGCCTGGAAGTGGGCTGAGATGCTACCTGATGCATCGCTGCGATTCTCTCTGAGCGCCTTGTCTCGTCATCTAGGCTATAGGGAACTCTAGATGGGGGAAGTTGTCGCCTGGTGGTTTTTCGGTGGGTGAGGCATGGAAGCTGTCCCGCAGTTGGCCTGGTTACGTCATGGGCCAACCCACCAACCACAATCATTTTCGGTCAAATTCTACGACCACAAGGCTGAAGTGGGTTTCAAGGCCTGATTGGAGGGGCAACCAGGTAAAAGTCGCCTGATGTTTGCATCTTCGATACCCGTCAGGAATCTTTCACGATGCTTCCATTTCCTGCGCGAACCTGTTCAACATGATGAAATTGGCTGCATTGCAATACATCATCCAGTTCTTTCTTCTTCTGGTGGGATACGAGTTATCTTGGTATCCATACCACCAAACCAACCTCCGTTACCTTCGTTTCGACATCACTACCAACGCTCGAAATTTCCTCCCCACCAAAAGTGGTATTCAGCGAACATGCTACAAGCAAATGAAGTCCAGTAGACTGTGCTAGAAAGATTAGAATTTTGTGGAGGCAACTCTGTCTGCCATGTCCTTCCGCCCCGGCCAAGCCCTCTGGATTCTCATTCGTTCTTCCCCTCCCACATCTCATTCTCGTTACCCTCTTATGGTAGCCGCCATGAACCGAACTCGAGGGTAAGGTTAAAAGATCAGCAATATTTTCTCACAGTGATCATGCCACAAAGTCAATTCCCTTGGGGAATACTACAAGTACAAAATACAGGAAAATACAAATAACTACGGTTTACTCTTCACGAGGCGAGCACGCGGAGATCCACAGTTGGGGGTATCATCCTCGAGGAAGCGAGTCCGCTCCTTGCGTCGTTGGTTTGAATCTCACTGGGGGGAGTGAGGTCTCTCTGATTCTCCTGTTGTCGAGCATATTCCGCAGTCTGAGCATGCTGGTAGTGTACCAATGACCGCCGTAGCCGGCCATTCCACCTGATCGAGACATCAAAATCCGACTCTACCGGCCCATTAGCACCTACCTGTCGCTAGGGCCTGTTCAGCACCCATGTAGTTGTACATCCAGGATTTATTTTGTGCGGATTAACCGAGCAAAGTTGAAATTTTCAAGAGGGTTCGGAAGGCAGTGCAATGGCCTGAAAGACCGTTAGTTTCACAACAAGAACTGGTCTGCAAGTCCGTGTTCTAAGTCTATGAATTCATACTATTACAGCAACAATGGTTTGTCGACAGGTGAATCTAAGGACAGGAGGCGATTGTCCGAACAGGTACCGCGTCTGGGGTTGTGGTGAAAGCCCATCACGTGAACCGGAACATCCCAAAACGATTAGCCGAACTCAGTTGCTTGGCGACCCTGTCGCGAAACGCGCAACTCTCCAAACTTGAATTGTCCATCCTCCAACAATTGTTTGCTCTTTTACACGCTCAATACCCACGGCTTTGACACTTCAAACCCTGATCCTTATTATCCCATCGACTTTGAAATCTCCTCACTCGTACCCTCTGCGCTGCAAAATGTCGGCAAACGGCGAGACCGTCCCCAAGGACGCAAGCGAAGTGACAGACACCGGCAAAGGCAAGGGCAAAGCGGTGGAGCAAATAGGGTTCTTGGACGAGGATGATATCGACGACGAGGAAGAAGAAGAAGAGGAAGAGATAGAGGTACGTCGGCGACACCAGTCCTTGACCTTGTGATCCTTTTCTAACACGATTTCTGTTCTAGCAACTTGAAGCTGAAGAAGAAGGTACCATCTGCCCCTTTCCGAATAAACTTTCTACACTACCGCGCTCGTGATCGCAATCGCGCATCGATTTCCCGTCTCTTTTTTCCATCTCAGTCCCCTGCGTGCGACATTCCGGAAAGGCGATCGAAACTGACTTTGTCAATCAGATGATGAGATGGAAGCGATTGAGCTGGACAACATCGTCGAAACCCGGACTCGCCGCAAGCAGATCGACTGGGCCGAAGCCGAGCAGAAGTCCAAGGACGCCGGAGACGATTTGGATGATGATGACGACGACGATGACGAGGACTTCGAAGCCCCCGAAGACGAGGATGAGGAGATGAAAGGTTGAGGTCGACTGTGGTGTTGCGCATCGTCCGAGAAGAGTCTTGGAATATGAGTGGTTCATGGCTGCACTGACAGCCCATGCAAGGATCTCACTTCAGCTCTCCTGGAAAGAATCACCTTGACATGTGTGATTCCGGTCGCGATGCCAAAGCATCGGTCGAGGGCATATTGGAGATTCGCCTGCAAAGAACAAAAAAAAAACACAACCTCCCGGTCACCAAAACCCATGTTTACCTGGTTTCTGTATGTCAGTGATCTGACACGGTACTGAAAGCATTTCTTTGGGGAGGTCAAAAGAGATACAGGCGCCTTAGGAGTCCAGAATACGTCCACCTCACGGCGGACTTGGAAAAGCTATCAGGGGACGGGTGACTTGCTGCCAGAAAGACAGCTCCACAGGATGTGCTTTCCCCCCCAGAGTTTCTTGTGCGGAAGATTCTCAAAAAACAATTCAAAATCCGAAAAATACTTCTTCCTGCAGACAGAGACTCGATTCTTTCCCCCTCATTCTGCCTCACCGTATCTCCTCCCTCTCTATCCCAGACCCTGTGGTCACCACCTTGATCCTGTCCATGCGATTCTTTTCGCATAGAGCGCACCACAGGATTCGTTGCACCCCCCGTTACGACCACAAGCCATAGCAGTGAAATCCACATCCCGACTCGACTTGGCCTCTTGATGCAAGCGGTTCGTGGGTCTATGGGTCCATAGGCCGTCCGCTCCGTCGCCTTTCTCTAGTCCGACCCTCTCCCTCGACAAGCGGATCGGTGCAATGGACTCCGGGAGACGAAGTTTGAGAAAGAAGGCCCCCAATAGGGGAGAAAAAGAGTCGTGTCAACTATGTAGCTAGCTAGGGATATTAATAGGTGGTAGTCTCATTGCACATCTCCGTCTATCCTTTCGTGGGTTTCCCTGGTCTTTGATCCCCCTAACCTTTCCCCCCCTTCTTTTGCATTGTTCCATGTCCCAACGCTCAACATACATTGTATCGTATACCTGTAACCCTTTAAAGGCTCCTCAATCAGGCACCGACTCGGCAAAGCGCAGATTCGAGAGACCGATTCGCCCCGTTTTGGCGAGGACTCTCGCCGCCACCTTTGCCTTTTGCTGCGCATTGGACCCGGACTTCAACGTCAGCCCTGCGCCTGCGGCCTTGAGTCTTGATTGCAGATTTCCCGTCCGCATGGGACTGCCCATCCTCATCCTCACCCGTGTGGAGAGACCCATTCTGTCCGCGATAGGAGTGCCCGGCCTCTTCCTGATGGGATTCCCTGATCTGTTTCCAAGAGGAGTGCGAGACCTGCCTCGACCTGGATTGACCACTCTGTCATCCGCGGGAGTGCGAGATCTCTTTCTGACCCGTGTGTCCGCTCTGTTTAGACCAGAAGGTCCCTCCCCGGTCCCAATTGCAATGTCTGAGCAGCACCCGGTAGTAAGGTCCATTCTGTCCTCAAAGGGAGTGTCATCTGTGTTGTCCATTGGCATGCTCGGGCCATCTTCGTTCGGAGTCTCGGTTCTGCACTTCCCTGGGATCACCACGTCCCTCACTACCTCTTTGCCTTTCCCATTACCCTCTTCATTGCCTTCTGCATTGGCCTTGGCCTTGGCCTCTTCTGCTTCCCTTCCCCTCTGTCTCTGCCGCCAGGAACCCTTGGCAGCTATTTTCAGCAGCGGCACCTCTTCTCTCTTCTTTGATCTCACTGGAATCACCCGCGGTGCCGGAACGGATGGTTCTTCTACTACCTCCTCCTCCTCTTCCTCCTCCTCCTCCTCTTCTTCTTCCTCCTCCTGTTCCGTGAATCTCCATAGCATCCAACGCATCAAAGTGCAACCTCTGCATGCCCAGTGCTTTAGTTTCAGCTCCTCCGCTGGACTCAAATCTCGAAGAGGACTGTCGACGCCCCCATCAAGAGGCAATTTGCCTCTATTCCAGGCCGACAGCTCATCCAAGGCACATGCCTTGTGATATCTAGTGCTGGGCGAGGGGCAGTCTTCAGCCGTGCAGTAAGTCGCGTCTCTGTGCACACGCTCAATCTGCTGTAGGCAGGCTCCGCAGTGATATTCCGTTGGAGGACTGGGTCGTCGTCTCTCATCTTCTTGCTCTGGCTTTTCTTGCTCGTCGGCAGGACTGGGCGTGTCTACTGGAGTCACCGATCGTGGATGGGCTGCCTCAGTGCTCTGAGATGCGGGCTCCGCATCTTGGGTAGCTCCCGTTCTTGAAATATCACTGACTTGAGTGTTCGCTTTCACCGTGGCTGATTCTTGCTGCTCGGACGTGCTTGTTCCATCTTCTGCAAGCGGAGGACCTAGAAAAACTAGCTCATTGACGTCTGAAACCACGTTATCATCGATAACGCCGGTTTCTTTCAGATCGGCCAAGAAGTCAAAGAAGACCTGCCACAGCTCCTCGTCCCCATTCTTCAGCCATTTTCTGTGCTTTCTGGCAAATCTAATCAGAGAGTTCGACACGTAGCGCGAGTGCTCGAGTTGTTCTTCCATCCGGTGTCGGTCCCAACATTTAGTCAACTCGCGCTTGCTTCTGCTCCAACCTTTCTGGCGAGCGAGGTTATCGAGATTCTCCATATGCAAGTCTATCTGCCAACTGTTGTCCACCTCATCATCTGTTTCACTCTGTGGATCTTCACTGGGGGAGACTGGTCGATTTGTAATGGAGGTCCAGACGTGTTCGGGCTCATCATACATTGTCCGAAGGCGGATAGCTTTGAACTTTTTGCGCATAGGCGTTCGAAAATCGGGAATTTGGGATGCCAATGGATATCGTGGAGCCGCCTTGACTGGTGCAGAAAAGCTGAAAGGCTTGTTACCGCTAAAAAGAGGTTGTAGAGGGACCTCTTCCCCTGTTGAGCTGCGATCTGCTCTATTTGACGGAAAGGCCTTGTCATTCTCTGCCCTTTTTCTGCCCATGAGAGTTTCGACCTTCATTTCGAGCTGGGTTAACTGCTTTGTTTTCCTGTCTCGCCGCTGCTTCGAGGGATAGAAGACATATTCCGCGTGCACGGATCCTAGATGTGACAGAAGTTCCTGCAGTTTGTTGTTCGAGCCCCATCCCACGCATATTGGACAGCCGTATCCCCGAACCACGGTATTGCGGAAGTGCTCTGCAGTATCTGTACTTCCTACCATCGTTTCCGAAAACTTATAATGTACTTCCAGTTCTTCCGTGGCTTCCTCGGGCAAAGCTGGCTGTTCCTTTTTCGTCCTGGTAGGCAAGATGAATTTTTTGGGCTTTTGGAAGCGAAATGTCTCCATGTCCACTCCCCTACTCTGCTTGCCGCTAGATGGGGGGGAGACTTCGGGTTTGTGCCAGGTTGATATAACCTCAAGGCCGTACTTTGTCCGGTAGGTGCGTCCTTCAGACAGATAAAACACACTGAGCGGAGCCTTTCGGTCAGGGGCTGTTGGAAGATGGGTGTATCTTGCGACAAGAGCCCCCTGCAGTTCTTCAACGCCCAGCTTCCTGAGGCCCGGGGTAAAGTGGTCACCAGTGCTGTCACCCATTATGGGTATAGGAGGCCATTCAGTGTCAGCAGTGCATGGTATAATCTTGACCTCAAGAAAATACTTGGTGCTCATTTCCAGATCTGGTTTACTCTCATGGGAGCTGGTGGGAACTTTGAGCGCTGACACCTTGACGATGAACGGTTCTTCTAGTTCTATGGAGACATATGCTCCATCTTTACCGTTTTGCACGCGGCCTACCCGACAGAGAGATGATTCGGTGACGAGTGGCAGTGTCGAGGCACCGTCACGGTTGTCCCATATGGTCAGATGACATCGGCATTCAATAAAGTCGCGTCTCTGGCGTTTGGCAAGCTTCTGGCTATTGGCGAGGGAATTCCTGTCGAAGTTGAGTTTTCTTCTGATATTACTCAGGTCAAACGTCAATTTAGCATTGGGGTGGTTATGGGGTTTTTCGGCATGGTCTCTGAGTCTTCGCGGCATCGTGCGCTTGCCTGCATTTTGGTCAGAGGCCAGACGCCTCGATGGCATCCTGAACGTTATCAACTCAGATTGACAAGAAGTAACACCGTCGTCTTCCGTATCCTCGGCTCTGTCAACGACGGCACCGCCTGCCACTCTGTTCAGCCCCTGCACACCCGAGGCCGTCAATCTTCCAGACACCGGAGGATCCGAACCCGCAATTCGAGTGATGTCTTCCCCCCGATCCGCGTGGTACTTTGATGCGCGCTCGATGTTTTTCGGTAAGAAGGGTTTTGGGCGTCCCTTTTCTCGACTCAGCTCGAACGTGGAACCGGTAATTTCTCTAGCTAAAAATTGCGTGTCTAACCCGGAGTACCTAAAGCGATAGCTAGAACTTTTAACATGCATGTTGCTCAGCCAAAAGTAATCTTTTGCTCAATGCAGGTGTTTGACGTGCATTCAGGGTGCAAACACCATGGTGATCGCACTGTCTGAGCCAACTTGACCACACAGTGAGTAGAGGATAAAGCATGCCCATGAGATATAGCGAGGACGGGTCTGGGTCTCATAAGGCACTCTCGACATCAAGGCAAGGTTGTCCTCGTTGTTCAGCGGATTATGTGTATGTCTGTAAACATCACAGTATGCAGGCGTGTGTATCTTCCGTTGTGGAATTAGAATGTATGGATTGGTAGGCTGAGACCAAGAGTGCTGAAGTACGATCCTGAACTGTAGACTTCTGAAGACATGTGTCGATATCTGAAGTGGCAGGGACGCTGGTGGTGGTGATTGAGTCTGCAAGCAAGGAATCTGCCATGTCGCCAATTCGCCAGGGGTGGAGATTATTGGGCTGCATCCAAAAAGGTACATGACCTGTCATTTGATGTTGATACTCCACCATTTTCTTGTATTTTGGTGGAAGGATCGATCGGCAAAGTTGTCTGACAGTGCAGATATTACGCATCGCACACGTCTGACAGGGTTACCACGTTTTTCCGTTCCGAAGGGAGGCGCGTGGGCAACGCGTGTTATTCTTCTGCATATCTCGTCCTACCAACCTCCTCAACATTTCCAGTTCGCACTGATGCGCAAGCTCACTACGAGGTACTCTTCACTCGACAGCTCGCCGATTTGAGAAGAACTGCCTGCTTATACTAAAATTACCCGACACCCCTAGCAGCATTAACCAGGTCACGCACGAGATTCTTCCAATGTTGTGGTGTCAGAATCGACTTCAACAGCCCGGCTCTTTGCTCGTCGGACAAGAACGTGATTGCTGCACAATTTAGAATAGGCGAGAAAAATGGTTGCAGATATGTAGTGATGTGATGACCCTCGGATGCTCAGCGGCCAATCAGTCCTTAGACACAGATTTCGAGACATGTGTGTAATGTAGTTGCGAAATAACAATACACTGAGCCCGATAGCCCTAGCTTGAAAAGCAAAGATGCCATGGAAATCTGGTGTCAACAGTTGAGGAGATTGTTTAACTCGAGTTTGCTCTCAATCTTCAATCAATACTCATCCTATCTCCATTCTGACTCTCCACCGCGTTCTGTTGTGTCGAGTTGCTCTCGCCCTGTATTTCACGCCCATCAGGAGCCGGAATCTCTGTCTCCCCCATCAAGCTTGTCTGCATCTTTGCACTCTGGCATCCAGGACAGTTATGCACAACCTCGTGCGCAAAGAGATCACAGTCAATACAGAAGTGTTTACGGCAGACAGGACACTCATATCTGCTAGTACTTGTTGTCGGGGGAGGAACTGTAGGTTGAGAAGGTCGGCTGGTACCAGGAGTGGAGCTCGACGCTTGTGAGCCAGTAGATCGCACGGTCCCTTGCGAACGGTCTCTGATGGTTGATATCGGGGGCTGATTTAGCTTTGGGATCGGAGGAAATGGCTTCAAACAGGCGAAGCAAGCAGTGCTGCGGTAAGCCTTCGACCAGGGGACTTCGACCCAATTAACCAGAGGGAACAAATGGTGATAACTCCTTGCCAAATGTGTACTTAGAATTAGCGTCAACCCGCACACAGGGCATTCACTCGGCAGACTGCACACTTTGGTACTGCATCGCGAGCACAGATACCCGTCTCTTCGGGGAGTTGTGTGACAAGCGCATAACGAGGGGTGGTCCTCCACAGTTCGAGAAGGAAAACCCATCATCAAGAGGGATGGGGCTGTTTTGTTGGCACTGTCATGGGTGATCGGTGGAGTTGTCACAGCCATGTACAACTCTCGAAAGTGTTGTTCGTGCAATACGACTCCATAGGGCGATAAGTCCCCATCGTTCGTCCTAGAGACAAGTTCGGCACAAATGGCGACTTGCGCTGCGAGTCCAATAACCGTAGCACGGATCTTATCGTGGACGAGACTGTTGATCGTATTGTGGATGTCTCCTGGATCCGAAGTGTGCAAAGCGCCAAACACTAGCAGTATTTCACGTGTCCCATGGCTAGGTGAGTGGAATAGTCCTGCTCTTGCCATCTCGAGCGCATTTTCCAGAGAAGGACTGCCTTTAGGCTCTTCCTTGCGATATTTCTGCAACGCAGACAGGTGAGAGTTTGGGTTGCCAGACATATCACTGATCCTGAGCGCAATACCGTCACGCATGCCTATTATTCCCAGTTGAGAAATCGGGTTCTGCTCGAAGAATTCGCGGATGAAGGATTCGGTGTAGGATAGGGTGAGTAAGTAACGGGTTGGACGAAGGTCTTTCTCATTCATAGAGAGGGACATGTCGAGTATGAGAATCAGGTGACGGATGATGCCGCGCTGGAGAGGTGTGGTGTCTTTGAGGAGTCTGCAGAAGAGCCATGGTGAGATAGGTCAAATGAGGTGCACTTTGGTTCCTCCACGATAGTCTCCTCTCTCGCTCTCGCTCTTTCTGACCACTTTCGTCACTGGATCGATGAACCTACCTTTTCCTCTTGCCCGCCTCAAGGAGGCCCTCAACGGCCCCTGTAATGGTTCCATCGGCGCCTTCAATAAGCAAATCCCAAGTTCGGGTTACCTCAAAGCTTTGGGCAGATTCACGAGCATTTGCTCTTCGAGCCGCTGCGCGGCCGCGGGTGGATGCTCTGGGCGCATCGTCATCTGATCCATCGACGACGAATTCGTCCCCTGATGCCGGCATCACATGGAAGGGGACGATGCGCAGGAGGAGAGAGGAAGCAGGAAGGGAATCGACTTGTTTGGGACACACAGTGTCGCGTGCAAGACGAGGCTGGATGTGGTAAGGCTGAAAATTATTATTTGGAGCTGCAGTTGGAGATGATGCAAGCAGGAGTCCCCGCCAACGCAACAATCAGGTACCTCTGTATTGCGTTGACTCGATTGGTGGTCATCCCACGTTTGCGGTGTTTGTACAGGCTAGTCGTCGGATGCTGTGACTCCTGATCTAGTTGGACCTTGAGAAGGAGGATTTTGATGCTCGAATTCAAATTATACTCTTGTTTCACGTCGACACTCAAGGCTGGACCTGTGATCGCGGCCACGAGACGAACCATTTGCACATTCTCGCTTCATTCTCGAATCAGCCAACCTCCTCTCCACAAACACTTCAATTGGACATTACCCCAGGTTCGCTGGTGCTCGTTTGAGGCTAGAAGAATCATGGCACCTCCCGCGGACCGCGATATCCTGCCCGATACCATAAAGCCACTCAACTATGACCTGTCCCTCTACAATCTCGAGTTTGGTGGGGACTGGAGCTACGATGGCATTGTCAAGGTTGACTCAAAAGTCAACCAGGAAACACAAGAGTTGGTTATCAATGTCAAAGAGCTAGAGATTAAAAATGCAGAAGTCCTTAGCAAAGATGGTGGCTCTACTGTCACATCAATGGCCGATGTATCGTATGACAAGAAGAGTGAGCGAGCGACAATCAAATTCTCAGAGAAAATACCATCTGGTGACGCTGTGTTTGCCATTACATTCAAGGGAATCATGAACAATGCGATGGAAGGCTTTTACCGGTCCAAATACAAGCCTGCTGTCACTCCAGCTGCGGGCACTCCAACAGATGGAGAGCACCACTACATGTTCAGCACTCAATTTGAAGCTTGTGCTGCTCGAAGGGCATTCCCATGCTTTGACGAACCAAATTTGAAAGCATCTTTCGAGTTTGAGGTCGAAATCCCAGAGGACCTCGTCGCTCTCAGCAACATGCCAGAAAAATCCACCAACAAGGGAAGCAAGCAGGGTTTGAAAAAGGTAGCATTTGAGAAGACGCCGGCTATGAGTACATACCTGGCGGCGTGGGCTATTGGGGATTTTGAATATGTCGAAGGCTTTACCGAACGCAAGTACAACGGCAAGCCCCTGCCGGTCAGAGTCTATACCACTCGGGGGCTTAAAGAGCAAGGTCGCTTTGCGATGGAACACGCCCACAAGACCCTCGACTACTTTTCCGACGTGTTCGGCATTGAGTACCCCCTTCCTAAGTCAGATCTGCTAGCGGTCCATGAATTCGCGATGGGTGCCATGGAGAATTGGGGATTGGTCACTTATCGAACGACGGCTGTTCTATACGACGAAGAGAAGTCAGATGCCCGTTTCAAAAACAGAGTTGCCTACGTTGTTGCTCACGAACTAGCACATCAGTGGTTCGGTAACCTGGTCACCATGGATTGGTGGAACGAGTTGTGGCTGAATGAAGGGTTTGCCACCTGGGTTGGCTGGCTAGCTGTCGACCACCTTCACCCTGAGTGGAAAGTCTGGAGTCAGTTTGTGGTGCGTAAGATGTCTAGAGGTACTGTACCAGTGTTGCCCTTGTTGACGTTGACTCCAGGCTGAAGCTGTCCAAACAGCTCTCGAACTCGACTCCTTACGTGCATCTCACCCTATCGAAGTCCCAGTCCGCAATGCTCTCGAGGTAGATCAGATCTTTGACCACATTTCGTATCTCAAAGGGAGCTCTGTTATCAGAATGTTGAGCAACTACCTCGGCCAAGACATCTTTTTGAAAGGTGTGGGTGACTATCTCAAGATCCATGCTTACGGAAATGCGAAAACCAACGACCTCTGGGCTGCCCTCAGTGCGGCCTCTGGGCAGGATGTCCAAGCTTTCATGGATCCTTGGATCCGCAAGATTGGGTTTCCGGTGGTTACAGTAGCAGAAGAACCTGGCCAGATATCCATCCGTCAATCAAGGTTCCTGACCACCGGCGACGTCAAGGCCGAAGAAGACGAAACCACGTGGTGGATTCCGGTTGGTCTTAAAACCGGTACTCCTGTCAAGATTGTCCACAGTGCTTTGACTCGGAAGCAGGACACTGTTCGCGAGGTGGATGATGCGTTTTACAAAATCAATGCCGACCAGAGCGGCTTTTATCGCACGAATTACCCACCTCAACGGCTTATCAAGCTCGGTGAAGCTCATGATCAGCTCTCGATCGAAGACAAGATTGGTCTGATGGGTGATGCCACTGCCTTGGCAGTTTCTGGGAACGGTACAACAGCTGCTCTTTTGTCTCTTCTTGAAGGCTTCAAGGGGGAAAAGAGCTTCTTGGTGTGGCAACAGATTGCTAGCTCACTGTTGAAGGTGCGACAAGTATTTGCATCAAACAAGGAAATTTCTGCAGCACTGAAGAAGTTCACCCTCAAATTGGTCTCCCCAGCAGCAGAGGCAATAGGCTGGGACTACCCTGAGGGTGAGGACTGGCTGACCGGTCAATCGAGAAAACTCCTCCTCGCCACCGCTGCCGGCGCCGGCCACCAGGACATCATCTCTGAAGGACAAAAGAAATTTGCAGCCTGGAAATCCGGCGATGAAAAGGCCATTCATCAAAACCTTCGAGGTGTGATATTCAACCTGGCGGTGGCAAATGGCGGACAAGCAGAGTATGACACCATCAAGCAGGAATTCATCAAAACTACCAGTGTTGATGGAAAGGAGATCTGCATTCAAGCGCTTGGCCGCTCAAAGAAATCCGAACATGCATGGGACTTGCTAGATTTTGTTACGTCGGAACAAGTCCCTCCACAGGACGCGCACGGAGGTATCATCGCTGTCTCCAATAACAACGAAACCCGGGATGTTGCTTGGGAGTATACGAAGAAGAACTGGGCTCGCGTCTACAAACGATTGGGAGTAACCAGTGTCATTATTGACAGATGGGTCAAATCGGGCCTGCCCAAGTACTCGGATCTCAAGATCAGGGATGATATCGAACAATTCTTCAAGGACAAGGAAACGGGGCAATTCAGCAGGAGTTTGGTCATCGTGCATGATACCATAACAGGGAATGCCGGATACAAGGATCGTGATGAGGCGGAGTTGTTGGAGTGGTTGAAGGCACATGGATATGCATCGTAGAGGCCACGGGGCAAAGGAACGTCGTAGCGAAAAAGTTGATTACTGCGTTGTGACACCAGGCTTGGTCAATATGTGACCTGGTAGAGACGTGATGAATGTATCTAGATGAAGAAAGCTTGGTGCTCTAAGATATACCTACCTCCGTCTGGTGCTCCTACCGACCTGAGCTAGACTTGCGGCCCTTGTGCGCTAAAAGCGCCGCCTGGATGCGAGCGGTGTCGTCTGTCATCTACAGTAGTCCAGGTTGTCATAACACCATGATTCTTGCTTTAGTCCACTGGCTCCTGATGATCTGGGGACATGCTAGTGACCAATAGAATAGCATCTTGGGTGCCTTGGACATCTTGGTGTCCACTTTCTCCGTCGAGATCAGTGGATACATGGCGGACTTTCATCCTTGCATACAGGCCGGAGATCTCAGTGATAGAGTGAAGGAAAGGAAGGCTGTCCTGACATTGTGGTTTGATGCTCACGGCCCAATCGCGTGGGAAGGTCCAGCAGCTCCGCTACCAGCATATACACCTGAGTGGGTGAACTTCAAGGGTCGAGAGTTGCGTAGGGACCAGATGTAGCCTCTTCAGCAGGTAAAGCAGGTTGTGAGTTTGTCAACAAAGCTAATAAAACAAAACCCTTCTGACCAACATGGTTGTCGTTATCATTTCTACCTCGTGTTGGCCCGCATAGGTGCGAGTTGGGCTAACTTTCAGGTGCATTGCACGATTCTTGGTCTCGTGGCTGGTGAATGTACGTGTTGCAGGGCTTTGTAATGCTATCTTTGAGCGTCGTCTGATGGGAATTGTGAGGCCTAGTTTCACTATGGCCATGATGCTGATCACCAATGACAGACAGAGCGGGAAGCATCAAGGGTCACGCAGTCTTCAGTGCAAGTCGCAGCGCAGCCCATCGCAGACATTCCCTGTTTCTGGCTTCACACGTGATCTGCCCGACCTGGTCATCATCAGCCACTCCGGAAGGTTCTTTCTGACAGGCTCACCAGGCTTCAGCCGCCCAATTATCCCAAGGAGCTAGAACGGTGACAAAGGAGCCTGAGCCTGCGCCTAACTGCCCTCTTACGTTGCCACTGTTTCGTCTCCAAGTAGCGGATCTCAAAGTCCAGGTTGGCCGCAAACGCCAGACACCAGATTCATTATCCCATCAATTCACCCTTTCCCTTGAACTCCATTCTCTACTTGGCTTCACCGATCCAGGCCGTTCTCAATTATCCGTTCGAATCACGTCCAACTGTTTCAACCCTACTCAACCCCCCGAGAAGCCCCTGTATCATCGAGCACCATGAATCCAGAGTGGTAAGCCATCCATCCCAGTTGCCTGCAATCCATCATCGTTTCCACTGCCATTGACAGAGTATGGCCTTTTGCTAACAGAGTGTAGAGTCAATCCCTCGACAATCCGTCCTCGGAAGCCATCGTCGTCCTGTACCCTGAATATTGATATCGTTCCACAGATACGATTACCTCTTCAAGCTCTTGCTTATTGGAGACTCTGGTGTCGGAAAATCATGCCTGCTGTTGCGATTCGCCGATGACACGTACACCGAATCTTACATCTCTACCATCGGCGTCGATTTCGTATGTTGTCGCGAACTCGGCGCCGCTATCCTGGGGTTCCGGGTCATGAGAGCTGGGAGGCTGACATGGGGTTAGAAAATCCGGACGATCGAACTCGACGGAAAGACTGTCAAGCTACAAATTGTAGGGCAAGACTCCGCTCAGTTAGTTTGCTACATTACCTGACATCGGAATAGTGGGATACTGCCGGTCAAGAACGATTCCGAACAATCACCTCCTCCTATTACCGAGGCGCTCATGGCATCTGTGTGGTCTATGATGTGACAGATATGGACTCGTTCAATAACGTCAAGCAATGGCTACAAGAAATCGACCGCTACGCTACTGAGGGTGTCAACAAGTTACTCGTCGGCAACAAGAGCGATATGTCGGACAAGAAGGTGGTCGAGTACACCATGGCAAAGGTACAGTGGCGCATCTCCGGATGAGCAGGAGCAATACTCATCATGCAATAGGAATTCGCTGACAGTCTGGGAATCCCATTCCTCGAGACCTCCGCAAAGAATGCATCCAATGTTGAACAAGCCTTTTTGACCATGGCCCGGCAGATCAAGGAACGCATGGGTACCACTACGGTCAACAATAAACCTACGGTTCAAGTCGGACAAGGCCAAGGTGTGCAATCAGGTGCTGCTGGAGGCTGCTGCTAAATTAGCAACAACCGCCATGGCAACGACCTGTCGTAGAAGGGAAACGGGCAGGAGAGATAGTCAATCGTTGACGCAGACAGGGCATTGGCCCTCGCTCAAGCAAGGGACAACCGAAGCGCAAACGCAGATATTCCTGTCTTCCAACCTACAGCTTTTGCCCCTCATGGATTTTCGGAAGGCGTTGGGGCGCAAGATCGGCGAAAGATTCAATCCAATGTCTAGACTTTCTGCTTCAGACAGCCATCCAAGTTTACAACGGCGAGGAACCTCTTTTGGGTTGTTGGAACGGGTTTTGGGGAACCTGTCACCGGCTTTGGCAGGCTAATGATGGAATGTTTGTGAGCGGAGCTGTATGTGGACGTCGACGGGATTTGCTCGGAGAAAGAAACGGCGTTTACTGTCAACAAGAACGCCCTTTCTGATTTAGGCAGAGCTCCATCGAATTCACAAACGGTGTTGAACCATTGGATCTCTCATGCTTTCTGTTTGCTTGACTTATACTGCATGGCACAACCGTCGTGTCCCACGAGCACCCTATGGATTCCCCTACATTCACACCATGTGCTGTTGAAGTTACCTGTTTGATTGCTGACACCTTTAATAGTGCATAAAATATCAAGAGATGCAGAGAGCTCCGGCCGTCTACGCACTGTGCCCAGAGCACCGCAGATGAGACATCTGATGATCCTGCCACTTCTTCATCCGACTCCTCAAAGTCACGTGATATCATGGGTGCTTCTATGCTTCAGAGAGCTTCTCAGAAGACCAGCGCCAAAGCCCCAACGTCCAAGGTGCGGCAGAATGATCGAAGGGCGGTGGACAGGGACAGAAGCTGCTGAGGCTAGTGATGTGAATGCTTGAACGGACAGCTGAAGCCATCTTCCAGAAATTTTTGCGGACGGCACGGGCGAAAATGCCTGCTATTGACCATCAGAGGGATCTCAGCCTGGCTTGTGCTCGCTGGTCTTGATGGGAGCCATGGATATTTAAACGGGTCAAGTTTTCCCAACAACCAACCTCCCCTTCGACCAAACAACAACCGACACCAGCTCGACAACGACCGTCTCTCAGCCTGGCAGAATGATCACAAAGCTCATTGTCGCTGCGGCGATAGGACTCACCGTCATTCCTCTGAGCGCCGCCGACACTGCGACCGCGATCAGCGGAAGAGTATCGTGTGCGACAGCGATCTGCTCTGGACCAGACAACACCGCCTCCCCAGCTGATCCACCGCTTTGTCCTATTGCTATCAACTCAACTGGATGTGTCGAGGCGTCAACCTCAATCACATCAGGAACAACTCTGAGCGCAGTCCCACCCTCTCAAGCAAACGGTACGAGATGGCACCGCGGACCTCTTCGCAGTTATGTCGGTAATTCACGCCAATCTTCTGACTATTCCTCAGCCACTTCAAGTCCAAACCATGTCACTACCGCACCAAGAGTCAGCTGCACTGCAGTTCCGCCGGAATCCCTATCCATCTCTCCACCTGCCACTTGCCTCGTCACGGTTGGATCAGTCGTGACAATATATCTATCGCATCCAGCGAGCGCAGATGACCTTCAATCCTCAGCTTCAGACAATATCACGACTTCTGTAAGTTGCTACCCTCTTTCGCTCGCTACCAGACCAGCGCCTTTATGTGCTTGTTCCATGACTTGGTTGAGACATATCCAACCCGTGTCTGAGTCCATAAAGTCCAAGAGAGAGGAGGCAGCCAGACGTGATCAAAACAGAGGCAATCCCAGTCGGAGCTATAATACGACACCAAGTGTGGTCATCTCAAGCCTGAATGTCAGTGCGGACCCTGTCCTTCTAAGACATGCCCAAGAAATCAATTTGGTGGATGCGAGTATCTGGCAGTGCTGTGGCTGCTACAATATCTAAACATCCAGTGACTGACTGAATCTCATCTAGGTCACAAGTTTCTCGCCGACTCCGACTACTGGTCAATTTGAAACATCCACATCCTCACCATCTACCTCAGTTGCGACCATGAGAGGCCCGTCTGTCTCTTCGGTCTCCGACTCGTCGACCACAGCTACAAGCATCAGCAGCGGTGTTACTTGGACCTCGACAGCATGTGTTGCTTTTGGAGTTCCTGACCCTGTCGCATGTCCGGGTGGCGCGTTGGACCCGTCTGGGAATAGCGGAACTTCCAGCATTGCATCTGCTTCTTCCTCTTTGTCAGAAACCACAAGTGTCGACAGCTCTTTAGATCCTACACCTTCGGATCTGCCGTCTTCCACGTCCACGTCCACGTCCACGTCCAGCACGGGAGGCACAATATTTTCGGTTTCGTCGACGGATATCGCGCCAGCCCAGACATCAGCCTCTATCACGGCTTCGTCTTCAGCTACAAATAGCACCCTACCGGCGCCGTGGATCGGTCATCCTCAAGGAAGAGGTCATGGACACCGAAACGCCATGATCGTTTTCCCTCTCATAGTTGGCATACTCATTTTCCTGCTGATGGCGATTTTCCTTTGGAGGCACTATCACCCTTCCTCATTCCACAAGGTCCTCGACTCGATCCCCGGCTTTGGCTGCTTCGCTCGATGGCGCAAGACACGGGAAAAGAATCGCCAGACTCGCGCTATACACCGCCTGGGTATCTTGACTGGAGATAATGGTCGCTTTGGTGGATCCGGTTCGGTCGCAGACGACACTTACAATCGACATCTGAAGAAGTTTGAGGAAGACAGTGCACGCGCAAAAGGCAAATACAGCAGTGACGCAGGTCCCCACGCCCCCGGCTCTCCTTTCTCTACGGGCAACAAAAGCACCAAGAGCGGCGACACGCCACGGACCCCCAAGTTGGGGAGTCCCTGGCGATACACGCCGACCAAGGCCGGCAACTCGGGCAGGAATAACGAGACGGACAGCTTACAGAGCTGGGAGGAGGCGTGGTTTGCGATGGGCAGCATCGCGGGTGCGGCGAGGGAGAGGGGGGAGGGGGAGGAGGGCGCAGGCGGGCAGGGGTGGAGGAAACTGGGTTGACTTGTACATATCAGAAGGGGTCGATTTGCAATCGGGGAGTCTTCCTGAATGACAACAGAGAGCCTGTTGGCTAGTTACATCAAAGGCACCTTTCATGCGTGGCTGTCCTTCTAGTCCTGGGTTGGTGACAGTGAGAGCCTGACTCTCAACAACTACAAACAGATTCGTGCCTCAAAGAACGGCCACCTCGTGCGCAGCAATGACGTCTATAAAGGATTGAAGACGGCTGCCGACATGCGCACAGTGTCATATGTTCGGTGTTTGCAATCACACAATGTCGATGCAGTGTTTGCCTGCTTCACCATCGTTTCTTGAAATCAACAAAATGCTGTGGCACAGTTTCACAGCGACATCCTCCTGCCTCCTACCTACTTATCTCCATCAGCCACGACGACCACCAGGAAGACTTTGAATAGTTCTCAGATATTACTTGCCGAAATGGACTCCTCTCCAATGGCACCATGGGCCCGATTACCTCTGGAGATCAAGTCGAACATCATGGGACGACTGACACGGATCGACTTGAAGTCCTGCCGCCTACTCGACAAGTGTACAAGCCTGGCAGCCACGCGGGTTCTGTTCCAAACACTCTGCCTTTCACCCAGTATGAACAGTGTCGACCGGTTGTCCAAAGTCGCAGCGCGGCCTGACCTCGCTGGTCAAGTGCGCACCCTCGAGATCCACCGACACTATCTCAAAAATGTGCCCTTCGACGAATACCTCCGGACCGGTCACTTGTCGGAACGTCTCCAGAGACTGCCTCCCCTCGACGCGGCGTCACTCGCCGTCATACTCTCCCAGGCATATGAAGACGAGCTAGACGCCCAGGGACGCTTCCTTGACGAAGCACCTCCTCTGGTGGTAAATGCGCTCAAGAAATTACCGCGGCTCCAATGCTTCGTCCATGGTGGTAGACTGACTCGAACCGAGGAGGGAGATTTTCTCCTAGACGAGCACTCTGATCTGTTGAGGCGGACGGGTGTAAGAACACTGAGCGGCGGAACACACTTTCTGCTGATGCACTCAGTCTTGCTGAAGTGCCGGGGTTTGAAGCCCCTGTCGATCGGATTTTCGTCAGTCTACTGGTGGGAGTTTTGGAACTGCATGGAAATCCGACACGCAAGGGCCCTTTTCGAGACCGTCACGCGCTTCGAGCTCACGTTCGAGATCAAGAGCTTGGATCGACAGCCGTGCCCGCTCAAACCGACCAGCGCTCATTGGAGGAAAGGCTTGACCAGATACCTGAAGGAACTGGGAACATACCTGCCTGCGACCGAACACCTGTGGCTCGGGTTCGACGAGCTGCTTATAGAGCCTCGGGGAAGTCAATCCGTTCGCCGCTATGCATGGACAAGGATATCGAGCTTGCTGCTGCGTTGTCCCTGTCCTGAAGTTCCTGATCTGCCCAGCTTGACCACCCTCACTCTGGAAAACACTGCTGTCCGCCTGGACGAGCTATGCAATTTCATCATCCGACACTCCCAGCCACTGCGGTCCCTCACCATCGTCAACATGCGTCTCAGCAACACCGGCACATCTAGTCCAGGGATCCTGGCCGTGGTGCTGAAGCTGATCTCGTTCCTCAACAAAGAGACCCAGCTGGACCATTTCTCCATGCAAGGCACTTTTCTAGATTCGGATGATGAGACCCGACTCTTGTGCTGTCCCAAGAGTGGGACCAGCAGCATCTTGCACGAACTCGAGGAATACGTCTGTCACCGCGGTGCCTTCCCCTTTCACAATTCTGAAATACTCCTGCAGGCTCTCGACACGTACTGGCCACGTTCGGGGGCGGCGGAAGAGGCGGTGGCCAGTGACAAGGAATTGCCCCGACCCAGTCTGCGCGATTGCACGGTTGAGGTCACGCTTCAGAGCGACGACTCGTGGTATGTCGACGCACCGAAAACGCCGCGTCCCGAATGAGGGTTTGGTGGGGTGGGGGGCTGGAGGGTATGGAAGTGTATGTCCATGGCACGAACTGTTCGATATGCCAAGTTCGGTGAACGACTACGGAGCGTATTAGTGGATCACCAGCAGTCAATCAGTCAATTTTGTTGGTTTTCGAAGAAAACTGTTTATGAGCATTCATTGCATCCGGGCTCAAGTGGTCAGCATTCAGCATTCAGCATGTAGCGTTTTAGCGCTCAGAGGCGACAATAACAAGTGTCAAGAGACAACATGGTCCCCGAGATTTGGTTTCACCATTCATCCATCCATTGATTGATTCATTCACTTCGGCACATTTTCGTTCCTGCGAGGGAGAGAGAGAGAGAGAGTGTGTGTGTGTGTGTGTGCACAAGAGCTGCCGGTTCGGGTTGGGAGAGCTGGTGGGATCACCATAGGGACAGTGGGTTCTATCGGCGTTGTCGCTATCACCATTATCATCCATTGTCAACAGAGCGGTCGTTGAAGAGTGAGATGAAGGAAACGTATTTTCAAGGCGTGTGGGTAGTTTTGATTTTCCTGGCCATTTTGCTAGGGTTTGAAAAAGGATTTCAAAAAGCAAGACTCCGACCCAAAAAAAAAACTCCGTGCCGCTGGCCAGTCCCGTATCTCTGGCAGCAACGACGCCAATAGTCAACCCTCCCATCCAGCTCATGGTTGGATCTCTCATGCAATCATCCGTCGTAATCGCCAGGTCGCCGGCTTTGACTCATGAACGCGTCGACGTTCTTGTCGTAGATCTCTGCCTCGTCACCCTGGCTCCCATTCAGGAACGAATGCCACTTGACTTCTCCGCCCTCGACCATGATGGGCGTGGCGTACGGAGCGCGTTCGGGGCCCAGAAAGTCCCATAATCGGCACTGTTTTTGGGGAGGTCAGAAACAGGAACAAGAAATCGGGGACATGCTCCAGACAATCGGTGGAGGACATGGACATGTCAGCTAGAAAGAAACTCATAATTTCTTCTTTCCTCGATGGTCTGTACAAAGAATAGATCGGCAAGCAGCAAAACCGGCCACCCCCCTAGATCGCTTGCTCCAGAGGTTTGAAGAAAGTGAAGGAAGTGGGAAGGAACACCACACCACACCACAAGAACCAACACGGCACGACATGAAACACTCGAATTGCGTGCGACGGATGAGAAGTAAAGACATAAGACGCAAGATGCACTTACCAACTGGTTCCACAACCGCGCGTTGACCTCCTTGCTCAGCAGCATGGTCTCGGGATCAAAGTAAGGCAGCGTGGGCAGGTCGTGATTCTTCTTGGCCTGCATGCTCAGGTTCGTCCACTGGGTCTCGCACCACAGGTTCTTGCGGTAGTCGTGACGGTGTTGGTCCTCTTGGGACGCGCCCTTGCTGGGCCGCGACGCAGAGGCAATAATGTCCCCCACGGTCTTCCTGGTTGATGTCGACATGGTGGTGGTCGATGATGACATATATTTCTAAACGTTCAGGGTGACGGTGACCCTTATGGCTCGCCTTACTTCGCAGGCTTGCCCTGATCGATGTAGTCCAGTCTTTCTTCGTGATCAGTGGCCAAGAGGTAGAGTTCCCTGCTGCAATTTATGGAGGAGAAGGAAAGTCGCAGGGGAGCAGGGAGGTGATGTAAATGCTGGTCATGTGATTGTCGGCAGGCTCGGGTAAATCTGCGTTATTTTCCCGATACGCCGCCAAGTCACAGCCTCGCCACCAAAAATTCACCGTTGCGAGGCTGTGACGTGGACGGGGATGCCATCAGTACCGAGTACTTGGGGTGAGGGAATTATGAAACTCTCAACTCTCGACAATGATTGTTTCTCAGCTATCTGACTGATTCTGCTCAACGCTATCCAGCTAAAGTATGAGTACAGCTTGTGATGGTACGGGATCCAGCTAAAGCTAGCAGAGTACACAAAGTACAGGAGGAAACCTACCCGTCATTGTCCCTGAAACAACCCGCGCAGTTACATCGCTGATACAAAGTTCATCACATCATTGCATTCCATGTTTGACCCATCATCAGCTATCAAAAGGACTTTACAAATCACACCTCTCTTTCGGATTTGTCCCTATGTAGAAGCACCCTAGCTCACCACCAGCATATCGCTTTCACCTTCATTTCATCGTCATGCATCTCGTAGCTGCACCGGGCAGCATGGTGGATTGTCCACCATATTCATTTGAAGAATATTTCCAAGACATGATTTAGGGGTTGTCTGGATACCCAAATAAGAGCCGCCTGGGCAGAAGGGCTATAGTCACATATAACCACCCATTACAGCCGATCTCTTCCGCTTCTGCGGATATGGTGGTGTGCGTGACGTTTGTGATAGGTTGTGGCAGGACTGGCAATGTCGGTCAAGGTAACTGTGACAACTTCCTCAACCAGGATCAAGTTCACCATAACACCGTTGCTCATATAGCTAGTCGTGGTTGTGTAACGACTGTTGGTGGTGTGTGGAGTTGTCAACGAGGTGACAGCAGGTGAAGCCGTGGATCCAGCAGTTTGCCCTGCGGGCGCTGACATGGTGGCGTTTCCGAATGATGAAGAGACTTGAGTTGGTGTGACGGCCCCAGGGATTGGTCCCATTGTCGCAGGCGCAGGACCGGCCTGAACTCGGACCTTACCAGGCAGCTCTTGGACAAAGTTGATTTGCTCATTTTGAAGCATCTCAGGGACCTCCATCTTGCATTGTGTGCCATCATCTGGCTTTTGGAGCTTGAAGATTGGACAGTCGTCTTGGTTACCCGAAGTCCCCGTCGGAAGATTGCAGGCTGGGTCGTCGATGGCACTTTGCAACACGCCTTCATCCCAAGCGCACATGAAATCTCCATGGTAGCCGTACCCGGTAGGATCACCGTTCGCAAACGTAAACTCTCCATCGATGCCTTTGAAAAGGTTTGTTTGGTAGATTGTTTCGTAGAATAAGGCGGGCAAGTGTACGGGATACCCTTCTGGACATCTACCATTTTGGATTTCATCTGGGTACGCAACGTGAGTTGTGTGATTGGCACTGTCCAGATCTTTTCCATTCCAGCATGACGGGAACATGAGTTCCGCGCGCACTCCGTCTGCACACGTCGCGTCGAGGAAAGTCTTGTTGCGGAGATAGTGATATTCTCGTGCGCCTTCCGCAGGAAGGTTGTAGTTGAGACAATTGAAGCCGAGGGCTTTCTCCATAAGTGCTTGTTGAGTTTTGTCACTATTGTTCCAGAGAGACATTGGCGGGTCTGGGTCCTGTCCGTAAAAGGCGCGCTTCAGAGAGTTCCCAGCGATCATGCGAAAGTTCTGAGGAAAGGCAACCACAGGACTCGGCTCATTTGGAGATGGCTCGGTGAAGTAATATCTGCGAGCTGTCAGCGTGTTGATCAGGGTTGGAGGAGAGTGGTTTCATTACGCAGTCAATCCGCCAGCAGTTGGAACCATCTCAAATGTGCCGTTTGCATGTTGAAAGTACATCCGTGGACTCCAGTAGACAGAGTGGTCTTGGAGGATGGAGCAGCTGGTACAGTTGGAGGCAAGGAGATCACCAAGAGAAGGATCAAGTCCCATATCTGGGAATGGGTCAGTAATTGATATATATTTTTGTTTGTTTGGTTACAAGGTGAGGTGAAACTCACTTGAAGCGCCAAAAAGAACATGAAGATGTTGAGCGGGGCTACCGGGGGCCATGATGGGGTCGACACGACCATTTCCTAGTTCGCCGTGACATAGATGACGAAAGAAGGCATGGGTTGGCGGGGACATGAAGAGAAGAAGCGCGAGAATGAGGGCTTGAAATTTGAGCGCGACTTTAGCGACGGCCATGGTGACGGTTGTTGTTGTTTTGCGCTGGGAGCGTGAATGAGGAATTGGGTATCGCGGTAAGGTCTTGATTGAAGTTGTCGTAGAGAGGAGAGATCGGCTGAAATGACGGACGTTGGAGGAGTAATGAACGAAGTGTGTAAGGAGGGAAGAATAATGATGGACTGATTGATAAAAAGGAGCGTGGGATGCCGGCAGACAAAGGGCAAACTGAGGTCGTTGGGATGAAGGAATGGACGCAAAAGGCGAGTCTGAGGCGGATGATAGAGAGTCAAGAGACAAAGTCAGCGCTCACATGCATCTAAGAGGAAGGCGCTTTCGCGGACTTACCACTGTAAATTGCTGGGTGAGGCATACAATTTGCTTCTTGGCTGTTCACAGTCGACCTTCACTTCACCTCACCTCACTGTTGGCCTCCCTCAATCGACTAAAATACCGTACTTGCTTGACCCCCTCGCCGCTTTTTGGCTGCCGCTCCTAAACCGACCTACAGCGCAAAAGTCGATTCTGCCGACCGCAGCCTTGACTTAGACTGTCTACCTCAGCTGGCGAGTGCGCTCCCACTGACACGCGATCTCCCGGTCGCCGACTTGGTCGAACTCCTATCCTTCTCACACACAGGCCATCACAGCAGACGATATCAGGTGTTTTGAAGAGCCAGGAAGTGTCGTGTATGGCCACCGACCACTGTCGGGCAGGAATAGATCAACAGACTGCTTCAATCAGCCAGCAGCACCACCTTGTCCAGTGTATATGTCTTCTCGAGAGCTCTCTGAAGGCACAAGTCGTCAGTATTGCAAAGGAGAGGACGTGTATGCGAGACACACAAACACACAAACACAACGGGAGGCAAATGCGCAATAAATCCACAGGGACAAGAAGACTGCAATGAACACAATAGGACCATGGTCAACAAAGACCGCTTCACCAATTTCCTCTGCTCATCTTACAGATGTGGTCATTCGTTTGCACCTGTCTCCATTCGCTCCATCCCCGTCGCTTACAAGGCCCAACCTGAAGGTCTGCGGCTGTGGCAGAACCATGGTCAAGTGCCTAGCTGAGATCCCAATTCCTGCTGGCTGCCTTCCATCTTCCTGCACGAGCGGCAATGCAATGCAATGGCAATGCAGGAGAAGGTCCTGCCGATCAAGCTTCAACTACCGTTCATTTTGTTGTTGGTTGCACGTGTGGCATGGCATGTCTTTGTCATGGTTGCTGCACGTTGCCGCCTGCTAATCTCCGCCGAGGTACCATGCACCGGTTGAAGATGCGAAAAGTCAGCTTCGATCGGAAGGGGGAGGTTCAAATCGCCTCCAGCGCAATCACGATGCTCCCTTGACATGCCACGGCTAGCCGGAATGTACGCGTGTGAACGAGGCGACACCATCCCTTACGTCTCCAGCAAGAGGGTATGTGTGCGAACTCTGGCCATAATCCTAAGAGTGATTGCCTCAGTCGGGATCGCAAACAATCGTTGCTTCAACTTCTGCTGTTGCCACGGCACTCTCGCGCTTGACGCGGACCGTGGAGGAGAAAGAGGTGCAAAAAGAATCGCTGAGCTAAAGTCCTTTAGTTCCGGCGAGCTGCGCTAAATTGGGCGAAGATGGTGCATTGATTCAGAACAACATGGTGGATGTCAGAGGGGAACCGGACACCAGGTTCTGCCGATATCTACAAGGATTATTCTCGTCGAGAAATCTCTGTGTCCTACAGAGAAACCAACAGAATCAGGACCGGGACCGCACCAAAGCACACACCATTGTGGAAGCATCTCCGTGACCTCCAATCGAAAAGCCCCCCAAAGCCTTATACTTGGCGTACCGAAGATCCTCGCTGATAGCCGCTGGTAGGCGAGCTGCCTGAAGCTTTACCCTGCGAGGTCAACCAGGGGTTCGGAGTACTTAGTGCATGCCCCAGGGTTGCTAGACAACCAAAAGAAATTTTTCTCAGGCACCGAAAACCTGGGAAAGCGGGAAAATTTGTAAGAGGTGGGAGTTAAGGAGACAAAGTCTTTTTTGGAAGAAAATGGACGTGACTACCATGACCACAGCCGGTAAGTCTCGTGGCCGTCACGTCTGTGTACTTGTCTAACCGTCAATAGAGAGGGATGGTGAACTGGCTCTAACGCGAAGTACGTGCAACAAATTTGATTGTCCCGTCCTAAGATTGATCTGCCCTCAGTGATGAGCAACATGTCTTCGTCTCATGTTCCCGAGGCTCGGGTTCTGATAATCATGACCGGAGGCACGATCTCCATGCAAAGATCTCCCAATGGTCTTATCCCGGCTCGAAATTTTCTGGAAAGATGCATGGCACCCCGACCGGAATTCAACGACGGAGAGATCCATGAACCCATGACCGTGAGGTTTCACGATGGACCCGATGGGCTGGGCGAGTTCCAGAGTCTGCGGACACCAACGAGCGTGTACGGGAAACGTGTCAGGAAAGTCAGCAACCTTCAAAATCCCAGAGCCTTGTTGCATAGAACCTTAAAATTCCGCTCGGTCAAAAGATGAGGACTGAGGCATCGCTAATACTCGCACAGATATGCTGTTCTAGAGTTCGAACCACTTCTCGACTCGTCGTCCATAGACAGCAAGGGATGGGCGGAGATTGCGCAAGCGATATATCGCAACTACAAGTTGTTTGATGGCTTTGTCGTTCTTCACGGCACAGACAGTCTCGCCTACACCTGTTCAGCTCTCAGTTTCATGTTGCAGAACTTGGGCAAGCCTGTCATACTTACGGGTAAGTGGAGTTACAAGCGATCTCGCTGTGTGACGGAATTTTTGCTCCAGAACATCTGTCTAACACAGCTCTCTTGAGGTGTTACCGGCGACGAGTCGCTGTGAGAAGTTGGCCATGACTCCGATGCCCATTGTCAAGATGCGCTTTTGGCAAATCCACGAGTGGACGAAGCTGACCTTTTCCCCAAAGGATCCCAGGTGCCCTTCTCGGAGCGCAAAAACGATGCTCTGGAGAATCTACTTGATTCCCTGGATATTGCCGGGCACTTCATGATCCCCGAGGTGTGTCTTTGCTTCAACTCGACCCTGTTTCGGGGTAATCGAACTACAAAGGTTTCCGCAAGCGCATTTGATGCATTTGCATCTCCGAATTTTCCTCCATTGGCCAAGATCACTGCAGTAGGTACTCACGTTGAATGGAACTCGGTCAAAAGGTCGACTTCCCTTGAAGCCTTCAGCATTCAATCAGACCTCGAGATACACCATGTGGCCTGTTTGCGCATTTTCCCTGGCATCAAACCGAAAATGGTAGAGGCAGTCCTGCGGACCGAAGGACTTCGTGGTCTTGTGCTGGAGACATTTGGCGCAGGCAACGCCCCCAGCGGGCACGACAACAAATTGACCCAGGTCATCTCTGACGCTGTTCAACGTGGCATTGTGATTGTGAACGTCACTCAGTGTCTGACTGGCAGTGTCAACCCGCTCTATGCACCCGGGATGGTCCTTGGCCGTGCTGGCGTTGTTGCAGGAGGGGATATGACCAGTGAAGCAGCTTTGACCAAGCTGTCTTACCTGCTGGCCCTCCCAGGAGCGTCACCAGAGTCGGTGGCTAAAGATATGGCAACATCAATTCGTGGTGAACTTTCGGAGCATGCGGGTACCATTTTCAAACATCCGACAGGCGAGTTATCATCCCCCGTCGCTCAACTCACAGCTATTGCCTACGCAATTGCCAGTGGAGATATCGAGAAGGTGAAGGACCTGCTACGAAACGACAATCAACTGATCAACCGAGCCGACTACTCCGGAAACACACCCGTCCATCTTGCGGCGACTGGGCCGAATATTGCGATCCTTCGGCATCTCCTCTCGCTGGGTGCCTCGTAAGTTTAGGACAAGTCATTGTCGGGTGATGGTGTTCATATTGATACTGGCTAACACAATCTTTTTACAGGGTACACCTACGCAACCACACCGGATCAGGCAGGACACCTCTCTTCCTGGCCGCCAATGCTGGGTTGTTGCCGCACGTAATGCTTTTAAGACAAGCAGGCGGACATCTCCATGCCGAAGAATTGGAGACGGCCAGACTCCACGCGAGCCAAAGACCAGAGGTGTGGAAACAGGCAGGCCTAGAAGTGCCCTAATGGACCTGGAGAAAGAGCTGGTTTCAACTGGGCGTTGGGTTTCCCAGTCTCCAGCCGTTCTGGCACATGGCTTTCCGTCAGAGGCCCCTGGTTGGTGTGCACGATTGGTCGCCGATTATATGCTACCGGGTGCTAAGCACACCTAGGTCCGAAGTCGCCTCTGGAAAGCAATGCCAGATGATCTGGACTTGCCTGCTGCCATCCATCCACGCCTCGTGGCAGTACAGGACGCTACACCTTGCGCTCGCTAAAACAGGAGATGGCCAGCCATGAGCACATCGAGCAACCCAATTGTGCGATTCCCAAGGCTCACGACATTGCTTGATGGGCTTGCAAAAGTCCTACAATGATGGGGCCGCGGAGGTGCCCGGGTCGAGATTGACACGTCTAAGTTTTGGTACCCGCCAACGGCGGCTTATGTTTGTCCTCGAAACCGGAGTGGGATTGGAACACTTGGAGCCATCCAAGTCATGCCTACAACACCCACCGACCTCCTGCTTCATCTCGAATGGCATGGTCACTAAGGGATCCCTAGGTCTCCGGATCAAGGCGCCACTGACGGCGACCTCGACCACTACTATCCCACCTAGGCGAGGCGAACCCAGCGACCCAGCTTGGGACATGGGAAACCCGGGACGCCCTTGGCTATCCTGACTTATCCTGACTATCCTGGTTGCCACTCTTCTCCCCCGCCTTTTTGGCAGCACCTGGCAACGCCCCCCGCATTTCATTTGCCAGGAGTGTCTGGCGGTATAGCGGAAGTCGGCTCTCAACTCCCTCGTCACCCTCTGCGGCGTCGTTGTACTACCCCCCCAACAAATTGATCGATTTCAAAGAGAAATGATGGAATCGGGTTCTCCCTTACGGGCGGGCACTCAGGTCCGTCCTAATGTCGTGCTCAGCATGGACCCAGCACCCCGCTGGCACATTTTCACTCCCGGTTACGTAAAGGATAAGCTGCATCAGGTTTGGCGGTCATAGACCTTTTCACACACCGTTGCAGAATTTGCGCACCCAAAGGGTCCTCGAATAATGGGACCGATTTACGGCACGGAGGTCCCTGTGACTCCCTTGCCCTTTATGGTGGAATGTGTCTCTCTGGTTGTCCTCTAATCGCATGATACCCAAAATCATTTCTGAAAAGCACGGTGTGGTCCATTTTTGCCTTTTTCCCTTTGGCATTCTATCTTGATCTTATCGACAACGGCGTTGGTAACGCAGAAATCTTTGATGCGCGATTGATCCTTTCGACGGCCACAATCCTCTTCGCGCCGACTCTCACAAAGTTCACCATCCCAAACCAAATTTTTTCCTTTCAGGCGTTGACTGTCTTGACCCCTAGCGGCAGATATTCGCCACATGCCCAATAGACTCAAGACCATAGCAATTGTCAACGGTACAGGTCGTCAGGCTGCGTCGGTCATTCGGGCAGTCGCAGCTGTCGGCTATGCCGTCCGGGCCCATGTCCATTCATTGAAAGGCCTGGTGGCTGAGGAGCTCGCCGACTTGCCCAATGTCAGGTTGTTCGAGGGACCCTTGCTGAACAACCAGGTCCTCATCGACACTGTGTTTGAAGGTGCTCAGATTGCCTTTATCAACACCAACCCTTTGGGTGGCGATGAGATCAAAATCGGCAAGGCACTGGCCAATGCGGCTAAGAAGCGCAACATACAGCACTTCATATACAGCAGCATGCCCGATCATTCAATTCACAATCCACGCTGGCCGGCACTTCCCCAGTGGGCGTGCAAGTTCACGGTGGAAAATTACATTCGACAGCTTGGACTCCCTGCGACCTTTGTCTATGCAGGAATCTACAACAACAATTTCACCAGTCTACCATACCCATTGTTCTGCATGGACTTCAAGGACGATGGAACTCTGGAATGGCGAGCACCTTTCCATCCCGACACCAAATTGCCCTGGCTAGATGCCGAGCACGATGTTGGGCCAGCTGTCTTGCAGATTTTCAAGGATGGACCCGGTAAATGGAATGGACACAGGTACGTTACCGCGAGTTTCTCCTCTACAACAACCCTCGATCCTGGGTCACATGGTTCGTTCCCGGCGCCCCGAATAGTCAAGACCTTGTACAAGGATTCTTGTCCGGATATTTTCTCCGTTGTTTGCAGGGGTCGGGCTGATCATAACCATTTTTGACGGGATCAAGGTGGTAAGCAACATGAGCAAAGAACTTGGGTCTAACAGCTGGATTTGTTCTAGGATTGCTCTTGCCTTTGAGATGCTCACCCCGTTGCAAGTTTGTCAGGCATTTGAAAAGGCGTTAGATCGACCGTGTAAATATGTCTTCAGCAAACGGATCGAGATCAAGGTACCCATCCCCAACGGATATAGAGAGCAGCTTGCTGGAATCGAGATCCTGTTTGGTGAATACAATGCGCCGTACTTTCCGGGCCCGGATTTCGAATACGATACAAGGCGCAAGGGCAGCAACGACACGATTACGGGGAAAAGCAGCACCGAGGCGTCTCGCAAAACCAAAGCTGGCAAACTCACAGACGAAGCGCGATCCCTTTGGCCACCGTATAGATCCATCTACGAATATGCGAAAGAGGCATTTGTCATTGAGGAGGAGGCCAACGGGAAAACTTGGATGATCGATAAAAGTGTCAGCACTTGAGCAACCGGGCTCCTGTCCCTCAGTTCCAACGACTCTTAATGACTTTGACGACCCTGTGGTAAATATGGTTTGATTGGAACACGCATAGCATGGGATGCATTTGGTTCGGTTTATGGAGATTAAAAGTCCACGGGACAATTTTGCATTGAATCCGAAACGGGGGGAAAGACGAAGGATCAGATCGTCTGGGTAGAACTTGACCATTTGTATCGGCCAGTATAATTCGAATATAGGCAGATTGTGGAGCAGAAATATGAGCTTGAGTGTCATAAACTATAAAAGGTAACGAATATCATGATCACGAACGCCTCTTCCACCCTGGCACCGCCTTGGAACCAAATGATTCTCGACAGGGCCAAAAGAAGACTTACGAGTATGTTGCTTGCAGATCGAATAAGCCTCATCTTGCCCTTGTCGTTCGTGGTCCCGTACCAGGACTCGGCAGAGCGACGGGACCAGGACTACTATTTTGATGCGTATGCCTGAGAAGGGGTAACTAGAACGTTCTGGCCCGGGCCACTCACGGCTCCGGGTGGGAAACTAAAGCCATGCCTTCCTACTGGAGGCCCCCCGTCCCTGGTATCCTTGTACAGGCCACGAGAGGCTCTGTGACCTCACTTTAAAGTAGAGACTGGGGTCATTCAATACATACAGGTAATCAATATCCACCAGGGGATTGCCGTCATAGGCGTGATGTTGTCTTGCACATGAGGGCTTTTGTGTTATGATGGCTTATCTCTCCCCGAGTATCTATTCCCCCTCCACCATACGACATCGACGTCCCCGATGTAAGTTCGCTTGAAGGTCTTCCTTTTGATGCGAGTGTAAAGCCTAGCATGATTCACGCATGGGGACAACCACCAGCATTAACCATACGAACGAGACACGCCTGGACCACCTAGCCAGGGAGGGAAGAAAAGGGTAGAACCCAGAGCAAAACATGCAGGGGGGGTGGATATACAGGGAAGCTGACTAAGGAAGGCACCTGGGTGATTTTGTCCATCAAATTCCCAAAAAGGGTTGAATTCAACACCTCAACGACGCCCAGCTTTGTACTTGTTTTCCTTCCTTCTGCCCCTCTTTTTTTGTATCTTGCACGTTTCGGAGTTTGGACTATAGACTGGACCATCACATGGAGTGTGTTTGGGTATAGTTAATACGTGCCACTCTCGATAGAAATTTTTTCACTTTGCTGATTGTTCCCGCCTGTTGTCCTCTGAGGACCTTAAGGCTGATTGATAAGAGGGTCAGGAACCTAGCTTGAGCTAGAGGACGATATATCCGCGTGGTGGTGTAGCACCATATCCCGCTTTGTTTCACCTAATTTCTCAGAGCTGAGGGCGCCCCGGTGGATATCTCGACTTTGGAAGATATTGTGGGTGATCTACTTTGTCGGCTCGTGGCCCAAACCATGTCAGATAAAGACGCGGCTACACCGCGACTGTTTCTCATTCGTCACGGTAAGACATCATCCCCTGCTTTTATATTGCACCTCGACTCTTCCTCGAACAGACCAGCTCGCATTTGCAAGCTTACACGTATATTACCTGCGCAGGTGAAACGGAATGGTCTCGGAATGGGCGGTTCACGGGGATCACCGACCTTCCTCTTCTCCCCGAAGGCGAAGACAAGGTCCGCCAAACAGCCAAGGTGGTGTTCGGTGCTGGACGCTTGATCGACCCGAGCAAAGTCGCCCACATTGTATGCAGCCCGAGACAGCGCGCGCAACGGACGCTTCAACTATTCCTAGACCAGGTTCAAGAACCCAGCTGGCGCGCCGCGCTTACGGAGAAGGTGCACACGACCGAAGACATCGCCGAATGGGGCTACGGGGACTACGAAGGTCTTCTGCAGCACCAGATCGAGGAACTTCGCAAGTCTAGAGGCCTGGACAGAGAACGGCCCTGGGATATCTGGCGGGACGGCTGCGAGGGTCCTGGAGGCCACACTCCACCCCAGGTCACGGAGCGACTCGACCGGCTGATTTCGCAGATCACGTCAATCCACCGGCAAGGACTGCAGCAGGGTGACCGCAACTGCGACGCCGTGGTCGTCGCCCATGGCCACATCCTCCGCGCCTTTGTGAAGAGGTGGCTGAAGCTCGACTTGGGCACACACTTGGAGATGATGCTTGAGCCCGGTGGAGTCTGCGGGCTGAGTTATGCGCACGGAGATATCGAGGCCCGAGCGGTGCTCGTGGGCATGAGTTTCCCGGGCTCTACATGATGAAACTGGTGCCATTTTGTTTTTAGCTACGGCCCCATCTTATCACGTTTCTTCTCTTTACCCGTAGTGGCCTTTGGCTCTTGAGGTATCCTGCGAGTTCGCCTGGCTTGGGAGGACCGTTGCATTGGGTCCGAGAGCAGCAGGTTCGTTTCGCTTCGGACCAGTTAGAAATAGACTATATAGACTGCATTGTCAGCTCGCTCTTGATACAGGGGGACTGTACTGAAAATACAGACTACTTACCTTCGCGCCACGTTACGTGCATACCTATCGAGCCCTCGTACCTGCACATAGTGGGAAGTTGATGATTTCCGCACCCCGCGATGCGTTGACGTCATTTACGATAAGGGAATTTTGTTTATCAGGCGAAAAATAGAAAAGCTTATCATCGTTACTCGGAGCACGTGATAGGCTGCAGCAACATCGCAGTTCGCCTATCCAACCACGCCAGCCACCCAACTTAACATCACCACATCCGCAGGCTTGGTTCCCTGGTATCAAATCGATACCCACCGAGCCACCATTCCCTTGGGGTTCCAATTTCCAAGTGTAGGGTCACACGTACCGAGTAATATCTGATTTCAGTCTGTCTTCACCTAATCCACTGGAGGCTTCCTCAGCCTTGTTGGTCAGCATAATGGAGGCGAACTTCGCCCCAAAAGAAGCTGTCGCACCCGGACATGTTGCTGAGATGAGTACCCCGTACTCGGTACCGCGCGCTCCTTATCACGTACCAGGTAGGGAGCCTACACATACTTGGATGATCCTGACCCGTGTGCTGCGAGATAACGGTGTGGGATGGAGACGGTGGCGGGCACACACTTGATCCGAGCTAAGTTAGATCTGCATGGGAGCCACGCTCATTCGACCCCGGGAAACCAGCTGCCCATCTACGCTTTGGCACAGATAACAACAACGGCCCGATCTTTCCAGAACAAAACAGACGAACAAGCTCCCACAGCCAATTGCTTGTGCCGAATGCTTGTTTGCCGCCACAAGCTTCAAAGCAAGGTACACAAGCATGGGAGCTATCGCCCCGAAGCTCTGCATCTCGTCGTCATCGCCTCCAATCCGCTGGCCTCCGGTGGGATTTACCGCGTTCGAATACGTCGCTTGGAGAGCTGCTCTGTCCACGAAACCAGCAGCTGCTGCCGATGAACGAGGGGAGCTTGAAGCTTCGAGCGTAGGTTCAAAAGGTAGGTACCGTCCCTCCCTGTCGCCGAGTTTCCGGAGTCCCTTTCTTTTCACTCCTCTTGCTCGCGTGCTCGGGCAAAGAAAGCTTGTCCCTGTGTCTTTTCCAGAAGCTCAAGCGGACGGAGCTCTCTGAATCTGTCTACCATGCGTTCTCACGGTGTTTGCCAGCTGCTTGTTGCTGCGGTAGCTCTCATTTTTTCCTCGACAGCGTCCCCAGTCGAAACGCGCAGTGATGTTGCCAAGCGAGCTGCTCCCATCTCCCCAAAGGTCGTCATCATCAGCATGTTTGCCCCCGAGGCGGAGGTCTGGTACGGCATCAAGGAGTTCGACCTCCTGGCCCAGAACATCACCGTGCCGGGTCTCTCGCCTCTGTTCCCAGAAATCCACTGCACCGCCAAAGGCGATGTCTGTCAGGTGGTGACCGGGGAATCCGAAATCAACGCGGCCTCGACCATCAGCGCCTTTGTGCTCAGTCCCAAGTTCAACCTCACCAAGACATACTTTATGGTGGCGGGGATTGCAGGCGTGAACCCCAAGGTGGCGACGCTGGGGGCTGTGACCTTTGCCAAGTACGCGGTCCAGGTTGCGCTGCAATATGAGTTTGATCTGCGAGATATACCGTCGAACTTTACGACCGGGTACATTCCATTTGGTGTCGACGCTCCGGATGATTATCCTGAAACGTGAGTTTTAGTCCCAAGGCAAAAGGCAACGTCCCGGGCACTGCCATGAGAATCTATAACAAGAAATGCAAAATCTATTTGAGATTGCGGGACTAATCTATTGTGTCTGTATGGCTCTATAGGATCTACGGCACCGAGGTCTTTGAAGTCAACGAAGCGCTCCGCGACGTGGCCATCAGCTTCGCGACTGGGGCTAAGCTCAACGACAGCGCGGCCAGCAAGGAGTACCGAGCCAAGTACGCGGCCGAGAGCATCTACGCGGCGGGAGCGCGGGGACCGAGCGTGCTGGGCTGCGACGTGGCGACGTCGGACGTGTACTACTCCGGGACGCACCTGTCGGAGGCGTTTGAGAACACGACGACGCTCTGGACCAACGGGTCGGGCGTATACTGCACGACGGCGCAGGAAGACAATGCGAGCCTGGAAGCGATCCTGCGGGCCGCGGCGCGCAACCTGACCGACTTTTCGCGCGTCATCGTCATGCGCACCGCCTCGGACTTTGACCGCCCGCCCCCCTCGGTCAGCGAGATCCAGAACCTCCTGTACGTCGACCAGGGCGGCTTCCCGCCCGCCATCCAAAACATCTACATCGCCGGCGTGCGCGTCGTCGACGGCATCCTCGCCGGCTGGAACAGCACCTTTGCAAAGGGCATCCCCGCGACGAACTACGTCGGCGACATCTTCGCCACCCTCGGCGGCACGCCGGACTTTGGCCAGCCGAGCGAGTTCATCACCAGGCGCAAGGCCAAGAGGGCCGAGGATGAGGTCCAGCACGTCCAGGGAAATCTGAGGATGCGCAGGGCCGCGGAGAGCGCGAGACGGAGGGCTGCGGCTGTCAAAGCCGGAGAGGTTATGCCTTAATACACACGTACCCGGTGTAGAAAGATCCAGCCAGTCAGTTGGGCCAGTCAGCCAGCCGCCCGTCAGCTACGTAGCTAGCTAGCTAGCGAGCGAGCTAGATGAGCTGTTCGACCGAGCGACTGATTGACTGACCAACAGACCGACCGAAACTGAAAAAAGATGGTTGTGGCCCATGCATGACCCATGGTTCATGGCTCATGACCCATAGCACATACAATCAGATCGAATGATGAATATAACAAGACAACATAATACTTGTCATGATATAATCTCGAGTACAGTGTAGATTGCATGAAAGAATGGTAGACGCAGACGCAGAGAGAAAAGGCGCGTGTCTGCGCAGTCTTTTGCATAACAAATCCATCATCTATCAACTCTTGGTACTTTTTCTGTCCAATTCCACAGCTAAACTGTACATCCTCAATGTCACGGTTGGGTGTCTTTCTATACACTCGAAATCTACACCGTCATCCGTCATCCTCTTGTATCTCGTGTAGCCAGTCTTGATTATATCTCTCCACTGGCCAGTCTTGACAGCCAGACTTGCGTTGTATCACCTCTTTCCCTTCCCCTTCCCCCCGCCTTTTCCCTTGCCCGACTCCTTATCCTCTCCTCCATGCTCCTTCACAAACGCACCCTTGACCAAGCTCTCCCTCGCAACCTGATTGATGAGGCGAAACCGATCTGGTCCGAGCTTAACCCCGCCATACCACCGGGTCACCACGACCATGCAGTTCCACACGTCCATGAGCTGCATCAGATGCAGGAGGCGACCCCCGGCGGCGGTCTCGCCGTCATCGTCCGAGTCCTGAACCGTAATCACCGCGCCCGTCTGCGCGTTGGTCGAATGGATGCGCCAGGCGCTGATGTTGTGCGTCGCGCTAGCGACTTTCTTGTTAGAGGCGAGGAGGTGCGAGAGGGAGGCCTGGGCCTCGTCCAGCGACCGCACGGGACACGCCCGCGCGACAAAGGTCGATCTGTTGACCGTGAGGGCCTCGGAAAGGGACCAGTTCGGAGGAGGATACGTGGGCGTGTCGAGCGAGGAGGCTACGGCGGCGTTAGAGGGCATGTTCATCGCGGAGGAGGGTTCAGAGCCAGAGCCAGAGCCAGAGCCAGAGCCAGAGCCATGCTCGAAAGGGAGGGCGTGGCCATCGCGGGGGACCGGTGGCTGATGATGGTGGTGGTGGTGGGTGGGCAAGGATGAGGCAGCAGACCTATGCGACTTCGTAGTGCTTTGCTCGACGACACCCTGAGTCGGCGCAACATCACTGTGCTCGTTCTCATGTTGCTGCGTCTGTAGCAGTGGACCGGCTTCCTCAGCCAAATCGAACAAACACACCTGACCCTCAGTCCACACCCGGGTGAGCACGTCGCGGAGGATGTGGACGGCGACCTCGCCCTCGCCTTTTCGCCCACTGTCTCCCGTCGACTGTGTCTTCAATATCTCCGGAGGCGCATCAGGGTATTCCGCAGGGAAGGAGATGAGCAGGGATATTTCAGACCCTGGAAGGCGCAGGACCCCAGTGACAAAAGGTCCCCCGGATTCTTGGAGGGTGATAGTATCCGAGCCGTAAATGGAATTTAAGGCTTCGACCTCGTCGGCAAGAGCGACATTAGTGGTCGCAATGCCATTATCAGAAAGAGTGCCATCTCCCAAAGGCATTAGTCGGAGGGACGAAGTGAAAAGATCATGCGCAAACAGCGTTTAGAAGGTGAAGATGGAAACTCATTTCGGGAAAGTTGCCTCTCTGTCGCTAATAAAGTCCTGGAGAAACAGCGGGCGCTAACGTAAAGCCTCATTCGGCCTTATTCAGCCTCGTCAGCTTCGATTAGCAGCGACAGGATGGAGATAGATGGGGGATGCTTGTGCCCGTGGCCCTAAATGACCTGCCTTGCAGAATTCAACCCTATTTCCGCCATCCTCTCGTTTCAAGCGACAAGATTAATCTCCTTATTGACATCTCCAGTGCTATCCTTTCCCCGGCCTATCTTTGATTTCTGCCTTATCTCCTTCCATGAGCTATTCAACTCGGCTCTCAAGGCGCCAGTGGGGTAGTTGATGGGAGACTCTCCGCCCTTAAAGATGAAAATGTCATAAACGCTTGCACCAACAAGCCCACCAGCGAGCGTAGCAACCCAAGGCCCCCAAATCCACCACCAATTATCCCGGGTGAACACGTGGACACCAGAGCCTGCAAAAAATGTTATCAAACGAGGCCCAAAGTCCCGCGCAGGGTTGAGAGCTGCGCCAGTGTTGTATGAAAAGGCCATGGAAAGGCACATGACCAGGAGAGCGATGATGAATGCATGCATGCCTGCTCCCGGCGGTGCGTTGTCGTCGTCACCCAAGGCAAGGACGGAACCGGCTGCGATTGCGGTGGCAACAAGCTCATTAAAAAAGGCAGCGACATTACTCAATCCGCCACGGGGTTGAGTGTAGAATGCAGGTCCAACGCGAGCAATGTCTGAGGCCGTGTACTCGTTGATGGCGTCACTGTAGAGACCAAACACGAGTGCAGATGCAGCGATGCTGCCGAGGAACTGAGCGCCAATATATTTCCAGCAGAGGTCCCATGGAAAGCCGCGAAAGACGGAGAGAACGACTGAAATTGTCGGATTGAGATGAGCGCCAGAGACGCCACCTGCAATGTAGATGCCCATCATCACCCCAAAACCCCATGCCATGTACGCAGTCAGCAGACTTCCGTAGTCGCTGCCCGCTGTCATGTGAACGATGGATCCAGACAGGCCGAGCGTCATGAAAACCAGGGTCCCCAGAAACTCTGCGAATGGCTTTCGATATTTATGTCGTACTGGGCCCCAAAAGTTGAAGAATCGCGGCCGAGAATATTCGCCCGAGTGCGAGAGCCGTTGTACCAGGGTGTCACCCGAGGGGTGATATTCTTCCCAGTCAATGTTTGGAGGACACTGCCGCAAACCACTTTCGTACTCAGCCGTATCTGCTAATTGCTGCAGTCGCCGCCGCGCTGATTCGATGGCAGATTCACTCCTCACCGCCCGTTCCAGTTCACGTCCGACCACCAAATCTTGCGTCCGATCTATGGAAGAGTCATGGGCCGTTGAACCACTGGGAGATGTGTACGCGTGAGTATGCGGCCCTTGAGATTCATGGCTTCCTCTCCGTCCTTCTGCAGATGAAGTACGTGCCTTGTCGTGTGCGCTGATATTCTCAGCGACCAGCTCGCGTTCCTTGCGCTTTGTTTCTGCGCTGAGGATGCCAGGTTGTTGCACGGTATTGTGCGGGACGACCGGCTCACTAAGATAGGAAGAGACATTGGCGGTGGTCGCCCGGCGGAGGAGATCTGGCTGGGGGGGAGACATCCGAGTATCAGCGCTGCTCCAGCGCGGCTCGTCATGTTCCTGTTCTCCATGTCGGTGAGGACTGGCCTCTGTCCGAGATGCTGGTTGTATTCCTATTGACGATTGTTGCAGCGCGGGTTCGCGGGCATGTCGTCGGGTTCTTGTTGACTCGTCTATGGCATCTCTCTCCGGTCTCCTGTCTGGATATCGCATACCTCGACGCTTGACCCGTGGTAAAGGAGCAGCCAACCCCCAGATGGGTTCGTCGGGTGGCTGTCCATATTCAGGGCATGATTCTTGATATTCGCGACTGACAAAGCTTCGCTGCTCTCTCGAAGGATGGGAAACTCTGGGACCTGCAAGAGAGAAGGGAACAGATTCGTGCGTAGGTACCGATCTTAATCTTGTCGCGCCTTGTGCAAATGAGTGGGTATTGGTTCGGACTGAAGGGATATCTCGCGACATGGTGTTCAATGGTGTTGGACGATAATTTGACAAAAGAGGAATCACGAACGCCAAAGCTATAGACTACTAAGAGAGACACAGATGAAGATTAGTCCAGAAGGGGCCATTAAAGAATATCGACTCACGACCAATGTGAGAAGATCAGCAACGAGGAACCACGTGGATAGCTGGTCAGGAACGCTCAGAATGAGGATCCTTCCTTCCAATGACGACGGGCGATCCGGCTTTCAAGCGACTTGTTGAGCAGAATGCAGTAACGATCATCAAATCAGCGATTTGTTCGACGAGCGAACGCCTCTCTCAGCGCGGGTATGTGGAGGGGTATCGAGGTTGTGCCCTTTACCGGTTCCATGGAGGCGAAGAGGAAGATGGAGAAGCGAGGAACGTCATTGCGAACGACGATCAGAGATCGGCGAACTATAGCCGTCCACATACGACATAGAACGATTGAGGGGTCTGAATGATGAACATGGTGTAACAGAGGCTGGCGGAGGATGGTTTTTGTGGAATGGAAGAGAAATTGACTCGACATGATCAAACTACGCAGTACTGAATACACCAGGGAGGGAGCCTGCGGTCATTTTTTCTCGCACCAACCACAGTCCAATCCACTCCGCTTTGCATATCCTCTACCCTTCTAGGAAATTATGCACTGACCTCACAACCGCCTGATCCTTGTGACGGACGAGTTTACTCGGTACACCCTGTTCCCGTCTCTCTATGCCAATGCCGTCGGGAATGAGGAGCGACGCATCCCAAGATTCCATCATCGGCCACTCAACCCGTATCCTCTCACTCATTTCTTTCCCGAGAGGTACAGTATCATGGGCGACTAGTTGACATGGTCTCACCGGAATTCACCACCACTCACTGACAAACCACGCAGACTCAAATAAGCGCAACTGTCTCTGACCACATCCGCAACCTCTATGGATCTTGCTAAAGCAATCAATATCCATCCTTTAGGGACTATTTTGGCGCCGTGGAGAGCATTGTCGAGGGAACCGCCCGTTCCAATTGATGACTTTACAAATGAACCACGAGACCATACTGACGCTCACTGCCGCACGAAACCTAAAGGGATGTGACAATCTGCACGATTGTTTGAAAAAGATGCGGTTGCTACATAGGACAGTAATTACGAGCAAGACAGCACCCTGTGAACAAAGCCCGTCGAGGCTGCGGTCCCAACATCCACGAAGCCACGACGCATC